ATATATATATAAAATTGCTGTCTTTCTCCTTCTAGAATAATAGCTGCTCGAAGGCAGGACCTTTATTTCCAGCACATAGCACACACTACAGACTGCTCTTATGCATACATACAAATATACATTTACAATAAACATGTACACGTGTGTATATGTAGTTACATGAATCTATACATGTCTGTATATACGTGCATAAGGTTATGCATGCATATGTGTACACATACATAAAATGAAGCAGTCATTTAGATAGAATCAAGGTTGTGATAGTTCAACATCAAGTACTTGACTCAAAATGATCGGAATATAAATGACTCATCATTTATCGATTAGTTTGGTTACAGTAAGATATTAGTAAAGCCCAGAATGACAGTTTAGTGTCTAAATGATCTAACAACTTTCTGGAGAAAGAGAGATTTTAAAATAATGTTTACATTTTTATTTTGCGACCTTTCTTATTTCTGAATCTCCAGTTATTTCTCCATCCTGAGTTCTTTGCTTCAGTACATTTTGTAGAGCATTTTCTCTGTATCAGCTACTAGGGACACAAAATGAACAACTTCCTTGTCTAAGAGGAGCTTGCTTTCTGAGGGAGGTGTCAGACAGGCCCACATCATCGTTGTCCGGGTTCTGCCAGTGGGGAGTAGAGCAAATTCCTGGTGCAGCTGGCCAGGGAATTTAGGCTGAAGCCAGAATTAGCTGGTTTGTGGGAAGGGCATTGTGTGCGTGAGAAGAGGCTGGGGCTTTTTGGGAACCAAGGTGCAGAGCAGTTGCAAATGGAGGAAATTCCATATTGAGTGGCTCTGGAGCATTGGAAAGAAAGGAGCACAGCTTTGCATGGAGTGCAGATTTTGCAGTGGAGGTTGGAGTAAACTCTGCAGATGGGGCATGGGCAGGAGTGGAGACCGGAAGGATTTACAGTGGGATCTGTTGTACCCAGTGGAAATCCTTGGAGGCTTTTAAAGAAATGATTCAAATTAATCCTTTATGATGGAGTAGTACTATACTGTATATAAATAGTACATTTTCTGTACCCATTCGTCTGTTCATGGGCTATAGGCTGCTTCCAAGAGTCAGCTATTAAGAGTTGTGCTACTATAAACACGAGTATGTGTGTATTACTTTAATAAGATGTCTTTAACTGGGGAAGATACCCAGAAGGTGGATAACTAGGTTGAATGAAATTTTTAGTTTTATCCATTTTTAAAGGAATCTCCATGCTGATTTCCATCAGTGGTTGTCCTAGTGGTTGTACCAGCCTACTCTCCCACCAGCAATGTAGAAGGCTTCCTTTTTCCCACAACTTCTCCAGCATTGATTTCTTAACGCTGGCCATTCTTTGTGGAAGAAGAGAGAATCTCAGAGTTGTTTGGATTTGTATTTCTCTGATGACAGGAGATACTGAACATTTTAAAATGTATTTATTAGCCATTTGTGCTTTTTCAGAAGTGTCTGTTCATTTCATTTGCCCCCCTTTTTTTTAATTGGGTCTTTTATTTTGAGGGAGGTCTAATTTTTTTGAGTTCTTGATATATGCTAGGTACAGAGGTGCCTTGGTTCATGAACTTAATTTGTTCTAGGATTTTAGAAAAGATGGCCATGTTTGTATTTGTGTAGGAAAGATGGCAGCAGTTGTATCTGTCTCCTGATGCAGAGTTTGCAAACAAAAAGAGTTTTGCCAAATGCTTCTGTTTGTGAACCAAATTGTTTGCAAACAAAAGCACTTGTGAACAGAGGTACCACCATATTATTCCTGTCTGAGGATAGCTGACAAAAATATTTTTCCAGAGTGCAGTTTATCTCTTTACCATGTAAGTAGTTTCCTTTGTGTGCAGAAGCTTTTTAATGTGGGCGTCACCACTTTTAAAGAAGCAATGCTGATTGACATAGGAGTGGCTCAGGACAAAGCTATCCCTCAGTACATGAATAAAAAATACAGTACACAGCTTTCCATGTGACACAATTAATTGATTAACACCTCATAAACAATCAAAAGATGCTCATTTTTTAGCACACCTTTTTTTTTCCTTCTGTTTCTCCTCTACCCCGTTTTCCTGTCTTAGAACAACAAGGTCACACTCTTCCGCCAGCTGCAGCAGATGACCTACAGCCTGATCGAGTGGCGCTCGCAGATCCTGTCTGGAACGCTCCCCAAGGATGAACTGGCAGAGCTCAAGAAGAAGGTCACGGCCAAAATTGATCACGGGAACAGGTGAGCAGGGGTGACCTCTCCCTGGGAACTGGGAACAGCATGACTGACACCTTCATGCTAAGGATACTGTTTACAACAAACTTTGTTCAGATTGGCACATCGTAATTGTACATCTTTATGGGCACAGTGGTTTACAGTGGAGTGGTGATTAAACCAGGGTAACTGGTATACCCTCACCGCAGCCATTTCTCATTTGTTTGTGTTCGGATCATGCAGCATCCTCTGTAGTAGCCATTGAAATGCACAATTAATTGCTGTCCTCCACAGTCACCATGCCGTGGGGTAGAACATTAGAAGTTGGTCCCCCTCTCCAGTTTACCAGCAAACTTCTGATCGTAGCGTTCCACAGAATGGTGCTTATTAACTCTTTGTGTCTTAGAAAATGTTTACTTTCACTGGAAAATAAAATGTCACCCCCTTCTCTGTGGTGCATGTACTGTGCTGACTGCCTGACCTCCTGAGCCAGTCTGTGACAGGGAAGCTGTCCCAGAGCTGAAGAAGCCCAGGGAGATCTGGCCCTTTCAGATGCTGGGGAAAATGTACAGCTGCCTCCAGAGCGCGGTCTCATCCCTGCTCCTCTGTTAACTCAGGCACATACCTGGGTTCCACATTTTATCACCTTTGGAAATTTAGAAATTCAGCCACTTTTTCCAAATGAATGGTGGCCTGGGGTTCATGCCTCCAGGCCACTCCTTTCACAAAGGCAGCAGGGGGTCCTCTGTTGGTTTTTTTGTTGGGGATTCACTTGGCATTCTGTTTCTTGCTATGTGTATATGATTTTTTCCTCACCTTTTACCCTGCTTCTCCAACTTGTGAATATGTGGGGTTTTTTTCCTCCACTTACCCAGCCTCGGGACTGCTGAATACCGTGCATAGACCTGCTAAAGTACAGCGCATTGCCCTAACCACATAAATGCCACATTCTTGACAATTGTATTCAGAAATAGCTGGGAGGAACATAGCTTCATGATGCAGGTTAAGTCAGTATTTACGAAGTGCTCCTGTTGTGCGTTTCCCATCCTGATAACCCTATGAATCAGCTGTTCTTATTTCTGTTTTGTGGGTCAAGAAACAGACCGTATGAGCTTAAATGAGTTCCTTCCCAGTTGTGTAGTCAGCGGGGAAGCTTCAACTTGAACCCAAGCCTTTTGACTTCCTGCCTGATGCCCCCCTCTTAGGGCTGAGAATTCTCCCTAATACTGGTCTGTCCTGGAGACTGTAACCCTAGTGATTGCACTGCTAGTCACATCGTACCAGAGGACTTTCTGAATTCTTTAATTTACTTTATTAGTATATGTTCACAGTCCATGGATTTTCCATTCATCTTAGGGAGTTGGTACACATACATAATTTAGCTTGTTTCAGTTTTTAGTCCCTTTCCCTTTTCCTCCCTCCCTCCTCTTCCTGTTCCCCTTTCCCCCTTTGCACTCTTGTAAATATTGTGACTCTTAGTTCATGTCTATGGCATATAATGTGCACGTTCATTGAGTTTAGGAGGACCTTGTACTTGGCGTATCTTCACTCCACCTGTTTCCCCATCTCCTCCTCCTCACTCCTTCCCCTTGGTCCTCTTGACCTCTTCCCATCTGCAAGAGACCTGTCTCTTGTCTTGCTCTATGCTTCCTTGATTTACCTTTTTACATTTTGCCTTACACAGAGGAGAGCTACTATATGGTATTAAAGTTTGTGTGTCTGATTTACTTCACTCAACATTATACCTAACCCTGGTATGGTAGCACACAGCTATAATCCCAGCACACAGGGACTGAGGCAGGAGGATCACTGAGTTTGAGGCCAGCTTGGGCTATAGAGTGCGTTCAAGGCTGAACTACATAGTGAGACTCTGTCTCAAAACAACAACAACAACAACAAATTGTCTAAGTGCATTTTTTTCCAACAAATGCCTCAGATTTGTCATTTATAACCAAGTGGTATTTCATAGAGATAGCACAATTTCTTTATCTAGCCATCTCTTGATGGGTATATAGGCTGTTTTGAAGATACAGCTATTATGAATTGTGCTGCTATAAATGTCGGCATAGATGTATTGTTATAATAGGTGTGCTGTAATATACTCTTTGGGAAAGATACCTAAAAATGAGATAGTTGGGTCACATGGAATTTCTAATTTCATTTTTTTTAGAAATCTCCATACTAATTTCCATAATAGTTATACAAGTTTACATTCCCACCAACAATGTAAGAGGGTTCCTTTTTCACTACAGCCTTACTAGCATTTGTTATTTTTTGATCTTTTGATGAAGGCCATTCTTTCTGTAGTGATTATGGAATCTCAGCGTTGTATTAATTTGCATCTGTCAAATGGCCAGAGATATTGAACATTTTCTTCTATACTTGTTGGCCATTTGTATTTCTTCCTCTGTGAAGTGTCTGTTCATTTCTCTTGCCCATTTCTTGACTGGGTCTTTAATTGTAGGTGGTTTAAGTTTTTTGAGTGTTTTATATATTCTAGATATTAGTCCTCTGGCTGAGGAGTGAGGAGTAGTGGACAAAAAACTTTTCCCATTCTGTAAGTTCTTTTTTTTTTTTTTTTTCTTCCTGGTACTGGGGATCAAACTCCGGTCCTTGTGCTTGTGAGGCAGGCACTGCACCACAGAGCTAAATCCCTGGCCCAGTTGTCTCTTTACTCTACTGATTCTTTCGCTGTATAGAAGCTTGTCTGTTGTTGTTGTTGTTGTTGTAGTTTTATGTGTGTGTGTGTGATGGAAATCATACTCAGGATCTTGTGCTTGCTAGGCAGATGGCAGCACCGCTGAGCTAAATCTGCAGCCCTGCTATATAGAAGCTATTTAGACTAATATAATCCCATTTTTTATGCTCTTATTTCTTCTGCAATATAGGATCTGTTTTGAAAATCTTTTCCTACACCTATGCACAAGGCTTTTTATTTTGTTTTGCTTTGTTTATTTATTTATACTGGGGATCGAACTCAGGACCTTGTGCTTGAGAGGCAGGCAACGAAACCACTGAGCTAAATCCCTGGCTTGTTTTTGTTTTTTGAGATAGGATCTTGCTGTGTGGTCCAGGCTGACCTTGAACTCCTGATCCTCCTGCCTCAGCCTGGTATTTCAGGCATTCACTACCTAGCCCAGATGTCCACTGGCTTTTTCAAAAGCCAGCTAAGATGGGATAAGGCACATAGGCTGCCTGTGTCTTTTGGGATCTTGTCACACTGACAGTGGCCCCCAGAGGTCTGCTCAGTCTTTGGCACAGGATGTTAGCTCCCCACAAATGGTGGGACATGCCTCTTCTCCCACTGCAACCCTTGGAAGCAGCTCAGGAATGAACCTCTGTCGGTGCAAGCATCATCCTGTCTCTGAGCAGCTGGCCAGGCCATCCTTCAAGAGTCTGGGTGGCCCACGGGCCTGGCTACTGCAGAAAGGAACCTGCCAGATCAGATCAGCTGGTGGAGATGTTGTAAGCAGGGAACTGGGAAGTTAGGAATTGGCGTGTTTCCCCGTTAACCTTGAGAGCCCTTGCTGTTTGGATGTCCCCACTCCCAATAGCTGTGCCTGGATTGCACACTGGGCGTTTGCATAGCAGTATCCTGTTTCACTGGTCTCCAACTTCTTGGAGCTAAGCAGATCCTTTTCTACTTTTGTGTACCCACTGGGCCCAAAAGCCTGGAAGACAATGGTGACTGTGTCCGCCACATGGCCCTGCTCTTCCCACGCAGCACACAGAGCTCCAATTTAATGCAGCCAGTTCTTCTTGTACCTCTTGTTGCAATAAGAGCTAATGTTTCTTGAGTGTGTACTGTCTTTAAGAGATACTGTATTAGGTGCTTTACATGGATTACTTTATTAAATTCTTGAAACCTTAAAGGATAGGAAACATTTGCACTTGAAGAAATTCGGACTTTGCAAAATTAAGGGACTGCAGCTGTAACAAGTGGATAAAAGCCAGGGTTTTAAGTCCTAGCCTAAGTACCTCAAGGCCAGTGGTCTGACATGGGCTATGAGAGAGCTAGAGCCAAGATTTACTTCCTTGAGCTCCTTTACAATAGTCTTGACTTGAGTAAGAAGTCAGGGCAAGCTCTCAAACAGTTGTGCATTGATCCTTTATAGTTGATGTGCCCAGTTAAAAAAAAAAAAAAACAAACAGTTAAGCACTGGAGAGGAGAGGACTTGGGTTAGAATCTGGGCCAGTTTAGCTTTACTTATTGAGGATCTGTGGACCAATATCTTTGATTCCCTTACACATATTTTGCTGGCATTGACTCAGTGGTATTTGAATGTTATTCATGTAGACAAGGGGCCGAAATTGGAAGGCAAAAGGTCAGTTAGCTCTTCTTCCCTTGACTTTAGCACTTCTACAGAGTCTCCGGGTTCCTTCCTGAGGGATGTTTTGCAGCATCTCCTCTGGAGGCAAGAATCACCTGTCTCTTTCTCTCCAGAATGCTCGGGTTAGATCTGGTCGTGCGAGATGACAACGGGAACATCTTAGACCCAGATGAAACCAGCACCATTGCCCTCTTCAAGGCCCACGAAGTGGCTTCAAAAAGGATCGAGGAAAAGATCCAAGAAGAAAAGGTAAGCGTCCTCCAGTTGCAGATTTTGGCTGCTGAGATTCAATGTTTGTTTCAGTTTTGAATGGGAGAAAGGGAATCATTGAGGTAGAAATGTCTAGAAAATCTTTTGTGTTCTTATTTTAAAAGTGAAACAGCAGAAAGAGTGAGACTACGATATTATGTTCTGTTGCAAAATGAATGCAAACATACATAAAGAGGGAAAATCAAGATGCAGATCGGGGTATATAAAATGCTATTATTTGTGTTTCACAAAATGCACACAAAAAGGCATACCTGCATCAGTGCTAGACTCTGAAATGATAGATAAGAGATTCATCATTAATGGCTGTCTGTGGGAAGAACTGAGGACAAGGAAGAAGATTATTGTGTAATCCTCTGTATTGGGTCCCTGTGTTATGATTTCTAAAATAAAAATATAAAATGTTCAGAAGGTACGGAAGGTTATAACTGCACATTAAATAAAAATGACAAAGATATAGAAAGCAAAGAAAAAAATCACCCACATGACTGCCCAGCCTAGGTCACTGGTGGCAAACCTGTGTGCTGGAAGTGGGCTGTTTGTGTCATCGAAGGCTCTGAAAGGTTCGCCATCACTGGCCTAGATCCACAGGTGTTGACATTTTTCAGATATTTTCTTCCAGTCTTTCTGTTCTGACAAGGAAAGCTTTGTCTCATTTCTCTTTAATTTGTAGCTTTTAATTCTATGGTACAGTCACATACATTTCGTTGTTTCTGAATCCAGTGGCAACCACCCCTGGAGGTGATGCTGTTCTAGAAGAATCTTTTGTATCCAGTAAGAGCTGTTCCCGTAAAGAGGGGTAATGGATCGGGTGTGGTGCTTCTGGCCTTTGACTAGGAGCCGTCATAAGACATGATGATAACTCTCTGCATCCACGAAAACCATGCACGATGACATGCAGCCCACATACATTGAATTACTCGAGTTTAGGGCCCTGTACCTGGTGGCCTTAATCATCGGAGTGACAGTGATCATATCCTGCTCACCTCGTGGATCGTTGGCCCACCCACACCCACTGTATTCTCAGCAAGTGCTTCTCCTGGGTTGGTTACATTTGTCTCCCGTCCGCAGGGTGATTCTTTGCCAGCATTTCCAGCTTGCTGAAACCAAGGTGGTTTTTCCTCTCTCCTTCTTTGTCCAGTCCCTTCTGCAGAACCTGGACATGCGGAACCAGGCCATCTTCAGTGGCGCCCACACCTATGGCCTCTACGTGAACTTCAAGAACTTTGTCTGCAATATCGGGGAGGACGCAGAGTTGTTCATGGCCCTCTACGACCCAGACCAGTCCACATTCATCAGGTAGTGGAGACCCCGGTCGCCTGCTGTTGGCCTTGTGGAGTACTCCGCCTTCACCTACCCCTACCTGAGGAGGTTTTGCTAGGTTTGAAAATGGGACTCAGGAGAGGTTGAGGATTTCTAGGCAGTAGAAAGGAAAGTCCTCTGGACTCCAGAGCTGAAACAGTGCAGGCTCCACTCTTCATGTGTGTCACGAGATACCTTGAGACCCACAGAATGCACAAGACCAAGAATTTACTCCAGTATCCTCTATGGACTTTGGTGCTAAGGGTGCATTGATGTCAGCTCCTCGGTGAGAACCAGTGTGCCACTCTGCTGAGGATCTAGATGTAGGGAGGGTGCCAGAGACAGAGCTCTCAGCGGCACAGTACCTGCCCAGCAAGTATGAGGCCCTGAGTTCAATTCCTGGTACTGAGAAAAAACAAATAGGTGGTAGGAAGGTACCGGTACAAAGTGACTCTCTGTACTTTCAGCTTAGCTTTGCTATGAACCCAAAACTGCTTTAAAAAACAGTTGATAAAAATTTTTAAAAGACAAGTGGAAATAGTGTTTTTAGTGTAATGAAGTGGTTTATAAGTAGAGTTGGAATCACTGTTAGAAAATTAAATTCTTGATTCAGCAGAGCTAAAACTTCCATACGAAGAAATTCTGAGTTGGAAAACACAAAAATGGTGGTGCAGGCCTGTAGTCTCAGCATTCTGAGAGGCTGAGACAGGAAGACCACAGATTCCAGCCCAGAACAGGCAACTTGCTTAAACTGTCTCAAATATAAAGGAGCGGGGCCCATAGCTCAGTGCAAAGGCCCTGGATTCAATATTCAGTACCATGTTAAAAAATAAAAGGACAGGGCCAGGAATTTAGCTTGGTGGTTCTGCCATCTCCCTCACAAGTGCAAGATCCCGAGTTCAATCCCTAGTGCCAAAAAATAGAAAATAAAACAAAAGGATAGTTGCATCCCATAAAATGTGCTGTTTCTGCCCTACGCTGAGTAGTGCTTGCCATGATCTGGGGGGCCGCACCTTAGAGGGCTGCAGCAAGCGACACTGCCGGGGACCCCAGGACTGGGGTGTGCACTCTGAGGGCTCGCTTCATAGATGCCGGCTGGATTTCCTGGAGCCTTTTTCCTGCACACAGGGCAACCTCCATACCCAACTGGCCTCTTGTTAAAAGTAACGATGTTTTGTGTCTCTTGCCAGTGAGAACTATCTGATTCGCTGGGGCAGCAGTGGGATGCCCAAGGAGATAGAGAAGCTCAATAACCTCCAAGCAGTGTTTTCTGTAAGTCCCGCCGCCCGTGTCCTCCTTGTCTTTGTCAGCCTGATGGGAGCGGATGCACGTGGAAAACGTAAAAGGGGAAAAAGCAGCAGCAGCCCCTGTGGGAATAACCCTCTCATTCACCAGAGATCGAGTAAGTATCTCTTCAGTGCCAGGCCCTGACGCAGGCACTTGAGATGCACCCCTTAACAAGTCACGGCGGGGCGGAAAGGCACCTGTGTACAAATCAGGCAAAACAATCCTTTTTCTCAAGCAGCTTTTGTCTTGCTGGAGAAAACAGGAATTTATAGTCAGTCGGTGAGTGACGTATAAAACAATCCTTTTTCTCAAGCAGCTTTTGTCTTGCTGGAGAAAACAGGAATTTATAGTCAGTCAGTGAGTCACATTCTAGGCCTTCTGAGTGCTTTGAGAGGACGGCCGTCGTCTCCTGGGCAAGGGTTGGATTTTAAACAGGTCATACGGGGGCCGGGTCAGGGCTCAGTGGTAGAGTGTGTGCTCAGCCTGCACAAAGCCATCCCCCATCCCTGGCTAAGTAAATTCGTGACTCAGGGCCGATGTCTGTGAGATGGGGAAGAATTGGTGAGAGCATGAGCTGTAGAGGTAGATGGGGCACTGCTTTTAGACCTGGGTCTCCAGCCAAGCACAGGCAGGCTGTAGACCTTTCTTTGTATGCGTTTGTCTGAATGTATTGTCCTTCACCTCCATCCTGAGTGCTGCCACCCAGTGTGATCCACAGATGTGGTGCGTGTTTAAACGTTTAAGACATTTTACTATAGTAAAAGAAACGTTGCCATGAGTCCCCCTCAAAGTCTTTCCCCTCACTTGGAGCGCACTCGTCCCCTCACTGTTGCCACTTTCGGGAGCGGGTCTGGAAGTCCTCTTTCGTGAGTGTCTTTAGTTGCACTGTGGCACCTGCCTTGATGTCTTGAATTGCTTCAAAATGTTTACCTTTCATGGTCACTTTTGACTTTGAGGAAGACTCCAAAGTCACACAATGCCAGACCTGGTAAGTAAGGAGGATGAGGACACAGCATGGTGTTTATGAGCCTGCATTTCCACTGGAGGGCCCTGGGCAGTAGCATTCTGGGTATTTTTGATCAAATCAGATGAAGGTAAACAAGAGCACTTCCAGAACGGCTCTGGAGAGTGATGGGACCTCTGGGCTAAGTGGGTGCAAAGAGAGGGAGAGGATAATGGCAATATGTCTTTTACTGTAATAAAAAACATTTTAAAATGTAAATAGTCACTGTGTGTGTGTGTGTGTGTGTGTGTGTGTGTGTGTGTGTGTGCGCGCACGCGCACGCACACGAGTGGTCCTCTCTTCCCTCCACAGCGCACTGTATATGGCTCAGGGCAGTAAAGAGCACTGCATCGCTGCACGTTCAGGCATGTGGACCATCTCCTTCCTAGGTTAGGAACATTCTGGCTTCTTTTACTCGTTGCCAGAATTGGTCCTTGGGCCTACAGCAGCGACTCTCCTTCGTCTTCTCTCCTCAGCCCACCCATATTTTATGTCCTTATTCTCTTCCCATTCTTAGGGAAAGAAAAATAGTATCCAAGTTCCAGTGCCAAAGGGAGTGGTAGGAAGGATCCATGATCCCTCTATGGCTTATTTTTACTCCTTCTGTTAACATCTCCCTTCTAGGACAAGCATAGGTGGATCCCTTTCCCTGCACTGATCAGTCTGTATCTTCACCACCTAGCAAATTGCAGATAGAGAACTCTGTCCTGGAACTCTTCCTGAAACCTTCCCAGTATTTCCTTAGCACTAAGATATGTGCAGTCTTTTCCTGAAGTCAAAGGGCATTTATCAGTCTGTGAGTCACACTTCAAAAAAATGTGGAAAAGCAGGTACTGAGGTGAACACATTTGTGTGTGTCTGCTGTCTAAGCACTTAGGAGGCTGAGGCAGGAGGGGTTTGAGGCCAGCCTGGACTATATGGCAAGGCCTGTACTGCATAGCAAAATCCTTTCTCAAAATACAAACAGGGAAGATGGGTACTGCGTTGTTTAGTCTTTGGTCCATCTTCTTGGTTTTTTGGTACTAGGGATCAGACACAGGACTTTGTGCTTGTGAGGTAGGCAGCAGAACCATGAAGCTAAATCCCTGGCCCTTTTGGTCCATCTTCTAATCAGCACCACTTTCAAACAGCTGCTGTCCACCATCCATCCCTCTGGGCCCGCACACTCACAGTTTAGGGTCCATTAATATGTAAATTTCACGTCTAGCCTTTTCAATTATGCAACATGTAGCAACCATTTCTTTGGCCATTGAACAACCTTTACAAACCTCATTTAGCCACTGTTGTGTGTTATTTCGTAGTCCATTGTGCCACGGTTTTTGTAACAGGCCACTAGGGTCTTTGTTTTTTGTTTTTTGTTTTCTCTAAGCGGAAACCTCGCAGAACATGTGGCAGAAATCCAGGGTGGATGTTATTCTGGGTGGGCATCCCTGCCTTGGTGACCTGAGTTAACTCAGTACCCGGGAATGGGTTTGGAATAATTCTTTGAGAAGTAGTCCTTGATTAAGTAGCAAGGACTTGGGCGGCTTGTTTCACGGACAGACTTTGAGCTGTAATGAGATCGGCTCTGGTGTGAAGTGAAGGGGGTTCAGGAGCTCCCCCGCCGGGCTGACAAACGCGGACAGGTGTGGGCTTCAGCTCGGACACAGAGGCTTTGCCCTGCCCCCTCCTGCCTCATCCGCCGGATGGATAATCGCACCACCAGTGCCTGCCTCCCCTCGCCTCCCAGGACTGCTTTGCAGATGAATGACTTGTCACAGCCTGGGAGGCGACCCAGCCAAAGTCTCTGTCACACATGATGGATTTCATGTGGCGCCAAAGTGTGTCCTGGCCTGATGTACATCCTGGAAGGGTGGAACGTGACACCAGTGACTGCCCTGGTCTGTGAGTGCCCTGCCTCACCTGAGTGAAGCCAGACCCCTCTGATGGACTCTAATCTGTTTTAGCGTCTTGAAGTAGGAACTGGGGAAGGAGAGAGCGCTTTTGTGTACACAGGAAATGGTTTTCCCGGATGCAGTGATAGTTCCAGGATGCTGAGCGGGTCTGTCTGGGCCGGCAGCTTTGGGAAATGTGCTCTGAACTGGATGCTGTTGTCAGGGGAAAGAGAAACAAAGTCACAGGTGCCTCACGGAACCTCCCTTGGGTTCTCTGTCCTTACTGCAGGATCTCAGCAGCACGGACCTCATCCGGCCCCGCATCAGCCTCGTGTGCCAGATTGTCCGCGTCGGCCGCATGGAGCTGAAGGACGGCAGGAAGCACACCTGCGGGCTCCGCAGGCCTTTCGGAGTAGCAGGTAGGCCAGGGCCCCAGACACTGCGCCCGGTAGGTGGCAACGCCTCAGGGCATGAAATGCGGCCAGGAGAGCTGGAACGTACCTATATTCTCAGAGCTCTAGGAGGCCGAGGCAGGAGGGTTTGAGTCCAGTTGGTAACTTAGCCCAATTCTTTCTCAGAATGAAAAGGGCTGGGAAGAAGCCAGTGCAAAGGCCCTGGGTTCAATCTCTAGTAATGGTGGGGGCAGAGCGGAGAAAGAGACATAGAAGAAGGGGAAAGGGAAGGGTGGCTGTCAGATGGGCTACGGTATGATTGAGCAATCCCACCTGCGGGCATATGCCCCAAAGAGTCGAAAGCAGGGTGTCAAGGACAAACTCGTACAGTGTTGTTCAAGCAGCGTTATTCACAGCCAAAAGATGATAGCAACCTAAGGGCCTGTCCGTGAGTGAGTTGTGCGAGAGAATACGGTTCAGCCTTAAAAAGGAAGGAAATTCTCACCCGGGCCACAACTCGGGTGAGTCTTGAGAACATTATGCTAAGTAAAGTAATCCAGACACATAAAAAAGCCAACACCGTTTGAGTTCACTTACATGGTCTACCGAGGGGACAGAAAGTAGAGTAGGGATTGCCAGGGCCTGGGCTGGGGGGCAGTGGTTTTCATGGGTAGAGAGTTTTCGTTTGGTAAGACGAAAAGGTTCTTTAGGTGCATGCTGGTGATGATTGTACACCACAGTGAATGGATTTCATGCCACTGAGCTGAACACTTAGTGGTTAGGATGAGCCCGCCGTGGTGGTACTTGCCTGTAATCCCATCTCTCTTGAGGCTGAGGCAGGAAGATCGCAAGTTTGAGCCTAACCCAGCCACTTAGTGAGTTAAGGACCAGCCTGGATGATATAGTAAGACCCAGTGGAGCAAGAAAAGAGACAGAGAGCAGGGGTGGGGAGGTAGTGTGGTCAGTTTTGTGTTGTTTATGTCTATGATAATTTAAAAAATCAGAAGAGGGGCCCAGGGATTTAGCTTAGTGGTTCCACTGCCTGCCTCACAAGCACAAGGTCCCAAGTTCAATCCCTGGTACCTAATTAAAAAATAAATAATTGAAAGTGACGGAGGGAGGGAGGGAGGAGAGCAAGGCAGGCAGTGGCCAGCAGATGAGCCCCACGATGGCGAGAGACGGGCCCCACATCTCGGTCAGGGTCAGGCACACGGCGTGCACTGCCCGGCTGCCAGCTCTTTGCTTTTATTCCGTGTCCTCACTTTCATCTCCCGCTCTGCACCGTGAGTGTCTCCTTCCCAGCAGAGCCTCAGTGCTAGCTGTCGCAGCCCTCCTGTCTGTGCCTGTGTGCTAATGGTGATGGTGATGACTATTATTTTTTGGTAGTGGTGATGGTGTGAGAATGGACCCAGGGCCTCACAGGCGCTAGCAAGCTCTCTGCCACCAGTCTCCCCTGACAAGCGGTTTGCCTGTGGGAAGAATTTAATTTGCTGCTCAGGGGCGACCCTGTGTCACTTGGTGCTTCCGAAGGGAGTCCTTGGCTTAAATCCAACCTAGGACCTTCCAAGAGGTCATGTATCGTCCTCTGTAATTTGTTAAATCGAAGAACAGAATTTTGGTCATATGTTGACATTTAGGTCACTGGTAGTTTGGAACTCATCAGTGAAATGTTGAGATTCTGCTCCTGCAACCAGGACCCGGATGCTTTGTGTCCTTGGGGTCATCCTTACAGTTATATGAATAATAAGGTAGCCTCTGCCTCCCACAGACTGTCCCTGTCCCCCACCCCATGAGCTGCGCCAGGGCTGAGCAGAGAAATGGCATTACTTCTTTACAGAGAAGTAGAAGATCAGAGAGGGCAAGGAGCCCGGGACCAGGACTGTTCAGCTGCCTGCAAGGCAACTTAGACATTATTCCATAAAAGGAATTCGAATATATTCTAATAGACCAGAAAAGTTAGGCATGGTGGTGCCAGCCTGCTTACAATCCCCAAGTCTGGGAGGCTGAGGAAGACGGAGCATAAAATAGAGCCCAGCCTGGCTACTTAGTTAGCAAGACCTTGTGTGAAAGTAAATCAGTAAAAAAGGCTAACTGAAGACCCTGGGTTCCATCCTCAGGACTTAAAAAATGGGGATAGGGAGAGCACAGAGAGACTCAAGAATTAAGCTTGGGCTTTTGCTTTTCTGCTTCAGCTGTGTGTGTGTGTGTGTGTGTGCGCGCGCGCGCAGGTGTGTAGACTGGAATGCGCCCTGACAGAGGACTGGTGAAAGTCACAGCTCCCTAGTTGATAGCATGGGCAGATGGACCGCCTGTTTCTGGAGATCAGGAAAAAGTTTGTACTTTGTTTTGTTTTTGCAGTGCCAAGCACTGCACCTAGGGCCTGATCCATGCTAAGCATGTGCTCTACTGCTGATCTATAGCCCCCGCCTCAGGATTTTTTTTCGTACAGTTTTTACAGGAAGGGCTGACAGCACGTGGAATGTGATGCCCTACTTCCCACACCTTCCTGGCACCAGCATTATTTCTCTCATCTTGCCCACTGTGTTGAGTTACTTTGGAGAACACGTTTCTTCCCTCATTCCTGGTTTTTCATGTGAGAGCTGTCTTACATCCCAGCACTCCCTGTCGTCTTCAGACGGGTTATGTGGGCAGTAGATTGCTAGTGTGTGTTTTATGGTCAGACTAATTTATTAACTGAGGTCTCCGCCCTTGCCGGGGGCCCTGCCTCCCACCAGCGGCTTGATAGCAACCTGCTTACTGTTCTGCCAGGCAGCAGAGGAGAGTGGTTACGCGATTTCACTCTGGAGTTATTGTTGGACACAAACCCTGGCTTTACCACTCAAATTTATGGCTAAGGGGGTTTAATTGTTCTGCCTCAGTTTTTTCATCCCTTAAGACCTCATAATATCTTCATAAGCGGGATAATACCTACAGTGGGCTCAGCACAGTGCCCTACTCTCCTGGGGACGAGCAGGTCTCTGTTGGATTTACTTTGTAATTCCCCCTCCCAGGTTTCTGTGGGGTCCGGGTGAGAAGGTGTCAAAGTCTCAAGTTTCTCTTTGAACCTTGAATTCTTCTGACAGTCCTGCCAGAAATATGTATATCCTCCATGGCTTTGAGTGAAGGCTTACTAAAAAACAGATGCTCTCAAATTTCTCAAGAATGTAGCAACTTATTCCTGCAGAATTTTTCAAAGGGGTGGTCTTGGGGTTGATCCGAGAAAACCTGAGTCCCTTCCTGAGGACCCTCTGCAGGGCTGGCTATGCTGGGAAACTATCGTTAGCAGAGAAATAGAAGAAATGTCCCTGCTTGGTATCTTTCTTCCTCCAGTGTCCTGGGTTTACTGATACTGTTCTTTTTTATAGCAACTTAACATGAAGCAATTACTTTATTTTTTATTTTTGGTACCAGGGATCAAACTTGGGCCCTTGCGCTTGTGAGGCAGGTGACGGAACCACTGAGCTAAATCCCCGGCCCTATTTCTTTCTTTTTTTTTTTTTTTTTTTTTTTTTTTTTTTTTTTTTTTTTTTTTTGTCTTTTTGAAAGTTTATTTTAAAAAACTGTATTTTTACATTCACCTCTCAGAACATTTAGTGATACCAACTAATGATGTTACATAAAAAGCCCACCCACTGTCTGAAATGGCTGCAGATTTACCATGTTCTGATATTAAATGCTTTGCTCTCTGAAAAAAAATTGGTATAATACTAAGTACCAAGATTTCTAATTCTCCGATGAGAAACAAAAATTTTAAATAAGTAGGAAATTAGTAAAACTTCAACACTGAAAGGAATGTTTAAAAAAATATTGTAAAAATAGATCTCCCCGAAGAGTTAGGTTATAAAATGCATTCAACCCCACCCCACTCCCTATTTCTCTTAGAAAAGCCTACCCAGTCCTGACAGTAGGGTCTCATATACAAATATATGTAGCTTGATTTGCAGATTGGCCTCTGGGATCATACACTTGTCATTAAAATTTAAAGTAAAAATTAGGTTAGGTAGTTAAACATCCTTAAATACTGGTGTCCAAATAAGTGACAATGCTTTGCCTTTGGTATGGCTGAAGAAATCTACCTGGAAACTGTGCAACAGGACAATAGCTTGGGGAGAAGGGAACACAGAGGGGAAGACACACATACTCTCACGCGTGGAGGTAAAATAAATACCAGGACACGTCCCGAGCAAACACTGGGTGGAACACTTGAGGAAGATGTCTACGCATACGGTCTTGGTCAGAACTGTCTGGAACAGCCTTTTTCAAAGGGTCACTCACAGGACACAGCTGAACACGTGTGCTGGGGTCTACTGTAAGGCGACGACGGCCTTGTAAAGTAAGAATGCCAGCTAGGCCGGCAACAAGCCCCTTTCTCCAGAAATCGCAAGCATCTGCTTCCCCTTTTAGTTAAGCATCTGTGCATCACCGAAGGACCTCCATGCATTAACAGGACTTCTGCCCTCGGTCACCACGGAGGTCTGTCGCAATGGTTTAACCACCACTTTCCCCCTGGGGTGACTAACTAAAAATTAAATCTGGTACTAGGACTGTAACTTACTATGCCGTGTCTTGAGTCTGCTAGCACCTCCCCCCCCCATTCTCACAAGGTCTTGATTAATTAAGTTTGTCTCTTTCCTAGTGATGGATATTACGGATGTCATACACGGGAAGGTGGATGATGAAGAAAAACAGCATTTTATTCCCTTTCAGCAGTAAGTACTTTGGCATGCGTCCCCGGTGACTTGAGGCCAGGATTGTCTGAATGTTGTGTATACGCAGAGCCAAGTGCTAGGAACAGAAAAACTCTCCTGCTGGAACACTGTCAACTATTAGGCCGGCAGACAGCTTTTATTTTTCCAGAGTCTTCTATTTTGGACTGTAGTGTGAGAAGGCATGCTGGACTTGTCCTGATTCTCTAGAAGTAACTGAAGGGATGGAAAATAGAGGGCAAGCGTGTGTCAGCACTGCAAACCAGAGAAAGGTACCCAGCAGGTGCTAGAAATGCGGAAGTGTACCTGCGCTCCATCCTGTGGCATAGATACCGCAGGAGATCCAGGATGGTACCGGGCAGCGTAGGGCTTCTCTCTCTGCATCACGCAGAGGAATCACTAAGGAATCTGGTTAGGATACAGACGTCAGCCCGGCAGGTCCAAGGCCTTCCGGCTGGCTCTGATACCCTGGCTCACACACTGCTCTTTGGGTAGTGAGGGTCTGGGAGGTACGAGAGTGAAGAGCTATGTAGCACAGGGCAGGAAGGCAGGCCGGGGGGGTTGGGAAGGACCCCACGGAGCGGCCGTGACGTCCTCATATTGAGCTGGAATCTCAGTCGAGTTGCTCTGAGAACTGCAGGTGTGAGCCTGGGATTGCTCTGCTTGGAGGATCCTCACCCGCCCTCCACAGCCCATGGCTGCTATAACACCTCACGGAGGCAAAATGTTCCCGGAAATGACCCCACCGGGGCCATCGGCCAGTTAGAGTTCTTGTCTCAGCTACCTGGCAGCTGCCATGACCGATCAATAGAACAAACACTGCGAGAAACCAGCCTGAGGGTATTTGAGTTAATGTGTCACTTTTACAAATGAACACAGAAGGAGAAATCATGCAAATGGAATATTATTTTTGGAGAAAATCTCCTAACCATTTAACACATGCATGTACACAAAGAAAGGACCTTTAAATTCACTGATAATGGGTGAAATGTAGATTAAGACAAGCTTTAGTTTGGGGCTTGACCGAGTTTTAAAATTGTATGGTCTGTCCAGGGTTTGAGCTGGTGTAGAAAGCACCTCTTACTCAAGGGTGCAGATTGTTACTGAAAGGGGTCTCGAGTCCCCTTTGGGTGCCCCTTACCCAATTATGCCACTCACGCACCGAGAGGTCCGGCAGGAGATCTTTATTGTAGGGAGGCAGAGGGAGAGAGAGAGAGGAGGAGGAAGAAGCAGAAGGAGAGAGAAGAACAAAGAAAGGAAGGTCCTTTTATCAGTTTTGGGGTGGGCTATTGCTTATTTATGAGAAGTGAGCTACTTTTAACCTATCACAGGCCAGATTGCTTTTATGGGCCCAGTCCTGCAGACACAGGTTTCAACTTTCCTGGACCACTGTGGCCTTGGTGGGGGAGGGAAACCAGAGATAAGGGCATGAGGTCATTTTAGGAGCCAAGATGTACCAGGAGAATGCAGCCTGTGAGGCGGCGTCATAGCATACTTTAACATGATCATTTCCCTAACTGTTACAGTGAAAGCAAAGCGTTAGATTCAGACCCTGCAAAGAATGTTCTCCATAATTAACGGTGGTGATTTCTTTTGACTTAACTATTCCCAATTCCACCCCTGCCTTTGTTGTTCTACAATAAATACATATTACATATAATTTTGTTTAAAAGTCTCGATCTTTCCATTTTTCAGGCCGGCACCTTTGAGCTGGCCCTGAATGCAAGACACAAATAGTTCACGCTAGGCAGTACTTCCTGCTTTCATCGAGAGACAATTAGTTACTGTAAAAGCGTGCACTTATCCGTTATTCTACAACCTGGGCACCGACCTTCACAGAATAGGATGAACTCGCTATTGTACGTATCTCAGGGCTGTTGCCAAGAGAGGATTGTTATATCCGTGCACACTGCTGCTCACCCACACAGTGTGCGCCGCCTGATGACGGGATGGGGCTCTGAGAAATGTACCCTTAGCAGTGGTGTCACTGTGCCACAGAGCGGACGGACACAGCGATGACCAGTGTCTTTAGGCATAGACTCCTCTGGGACCATCAGATACACCCGTTCCTTTAGAGGCCCAGATGTTGTAATGCTGTCCAGGACAGTATTGTATGTCACAATTTATAAATACATTTAAATAAGTATTTGAGATAAAGGTTTTGAATTTAACACAATGTTAATGTTACATTAATATATTAAATATATAGCATTCACATCTGTGAGTGTATGTATAGTCTTATTATATGTGTTACATGTTTTTTGCTCTAATTACACGTGCAGTAAGAGCAGCGTTCATGAATGTGGAAGTCATTTGAACTCTGTATCTCTGCACCTTGGCATGGTGGTCGGTTTTCCCGCTCAGTTTCTGAACTGGCAGCCGCATGGCCACAGTGCGCCCTGAGATCATCTCCGCTATAGAACAATACCTGCTTTGAGTCTCCGAGGAGCCCAGCCCTGATTTGATTACCGCTCACTTTTCAGCCAGCAGCCGCTGTAAAGGGTTTGCCTTGCTTAATTGCAGCCTCTGGTGCTTAACTCCTACGATTTATGGCGAGTGCCTTCCTAATCTATGATAGTGTTTCGCGCCGGGAGGATGTATATGTAAGTCACTGGGAGAAACAGCACTTCAGGTTGTAGCAGTCCCCCCGCCAAGTCACACACTGGAGTATGTTTTCATCACCAGGGTACTGCTGTAATTCATCCTGGCAGCCACCACAGACGGCTTTGAGTGTCGCCTCTGACTTCCATTGCTAACGATCAGCCTTCAGTTTTAGTTGTTCTTAGGCTTGTTTTTTCTTATTTGTCTCCAGTCGTTTCCAAGATATATTCACTGCTTAAGTTAGGCACTCAGTGGAAAAAACAAAGGGAAGATGATTATTGACAAGGACAAAAATGTAACAGCGTATTTTTTATTTTGTTTGTGGTACTGCATATTGAACCCAAGGCCTTGTACATGCAAGGCCAACACTCTGTCCCTGAGTTACACCCTCAGGCAGTTTCATGTTTTATTTTGAGACAGTCTTTCACTAAGCTGCCCAGCGTGGCCTTGAGGTTATACTTCTCCTGCCTCAGCCTCTTTGGTGTCAAGCTAAGGTTACAGGTGTTTGTCACAGTGTCCAGCTGACAATTTATTTTAAAGAGCTTAATTGGCTTTATTTTCTGTTCTATGATTGGTCAACACTGCACTCCATAAAATAGTGTTAGCCAGCGGGGTATGGAGGCTGAGGTAGGAAGATCACAAATTCGAGACCAGCCTGGGCTACATAGTGAGTTCAAGGCCAGCGTGGACTACAAATGGAGACCCTGCCTCAAAACAACCAACAAAAGAATAAACAGCCCACCAAGCCCAGCAGAGGAGCTTGATTGTACAGAAAAGGGCTGACAGAAGCAGAAACAACAAAAAGAGACAATGGATTTAGTCATTCCAAAGTTACTTTCCTCACAGGGACAAGGAGACGACAGTAGAAAATAATTGATTGGTTACCTTTCCTGGGAAAAGGATGAAGGCAGGGGGAACATAATTATCACTCCCATTGGAACTGACCTATTTGAAATGAGGCTGTTATTTTTCTATCCCGATTTCTTGGAAAATCAGATATTTAGCTTAGTTTCAGCCAGGTACACTCACAGCCTGGACCTTTACCAAGAGTGATTCTGGTTTGATTTTTTTTTTTCTCAATTGAGACAGGGTCTTGCTTTGTAGCCCAGGCTGACCTCCAGCTCCCAATGGTCCTCCTGCCTCATCCTCCCAGGGGTGTTTTCATTTTTAGCCTGGTTTGCTGTAGCTAGATGCAGGAGCTTCCTCCAAAGCAGTGGCCCTTGTCATCTGTCCTTAACAATAGAAGGCGCCCTCTGATAAGATGTAGTGTGTAAATTTCCAGATTATTCCCTAAAATCCTCCACTGTCTGAGGCGGAGAGATACCCCCCACACACACACACACTTTTTCTCCTCACCTCTCCTTCTTCCCAGAATCGCTATGGAAACTTACATCCGGCAGAGACAGCTCATCATGGCGCCCCTGATGACCTCCAGTGTGATTGGGGAAAACGAGCCGCTCACTTCAGTCTTGAATAAAGTCATAGCAACCAAGGAAGTGAATCACAAAGGACAAGGTACAGCGCCTGGGAGAGGCTGGGAGGGGACCTCAGAGCCCTGGCCTTGGACTCGGGCCCTTTTCCTGTCCCTCCCTGATAAGACAGCCTTGCAGGACCGCCCACTGGGGATCCCTAACCCTGTAGCAGGCAGGATGTACCCAGTGGGAAACGCGGATGATTCGGGAATGCTATAGAGCAGTTTATCTCTCCATCCTCTCCTGTCCCACATTCTCAGCATTGACTCTCAGTAAATGCACAAAGGAAAGGGATTCAGTGTATTCTGTGATGTCTCCTAACTGGGAAGAAGAAGACCAAAGCAGTACAGATGGAAAACACCCGGCTACCTCACAAGCACCACCCTGTAATTGTTCCATTGACTGAAGTTTAAACTAGGAGAAGTTCTGCTTTTGGAGACTCCCTATTAAACACAAACGATAATGAAAATAGTCAAAGTTTTAAAATTCAAATACCAAGAGAGACCCTATTTTGATCACTTTGAAGTTTGAGTCACTTTTTTTTTTTTTTACTACCCTGAAGCTGTTTTTTTGAAAAGTCAGTGGTCAGATAATACATTACTTTCAGTAACTTTAGTTTCAGGTGTGTATATCAGTATCCTGAGCAAAAGAGACATGTGAGCAGTAAATAGTCTGTGAACAGCTAAACATATTTGGTTTCTGGGAGGTCTTTACCTAAGAATATACTTTTAGAGAAGAAAGCACTTATACTAAATATATTACTATGTACGTGTGGTTTCTTTTTTCTGTGCCGGGCATGGTAGTACATGCCTGAGATCCCAGCGCTTGGAAGATTAAGACAGGATTCCCATGAGTCAAGGCCAGCCTGGACTACACAGCAAGACCCTGTCTGAAACAACAACAAAAAACAAACCAAAAGCAGTATTTCTTTCTTGCTACAGAACAACAAAACAAGCCCTTTTCACATGTTTTTCTGTTCTTTACCGATATTTTTTTGCAGTCCCATTAATACTTTATTGCTTAAACTGTTCAAAAAGAAAAAACCGTTACAATACAATTTAAGATTTCTTTTTTGCATCTTGGTATTTTTACTTCATTTTCTCTTGTAGAATCAGGCACCACTTCGTTCAATAAAATAGAATAAGTGTTCTGTTGTGCTGAGTGGGAAAGCTTGCTCTTATAGACAGAGCCTGGAAAAAAGAGAACAAAACAACGCTTGGTTGTTTCAAAGTTCCTTTTCCTGTAAGGGGAGCACAGAGACATAAAACAGAAGGAAAATACCTGATCGGTCGACATCAGGTTACTTTTTTTGTAAGGTTGAAATTAGAGGAAATGTCATTATCGCGCCAGTTGAAACTGGCCAGTTTGGGAAATTTAGCTATTACCTCGCCAATCCTGATTTCTCTGAAAGTCAGGGAACACGTGAGTTTTCTTTCGATGACATGGAGGTCGACTCTGCTTTGACTTTTCGCCTGGTCTTTTAGCTTAGTCCACAACAACGACCTCCTGTAAATTTTACCTAAAAGATGTAAGAAAATTCAGTCCACTAGATAAACACTTAAGTGCTCTAATTGTCACCACTGTACATTTAAGTGATGAATCCATAATGACTATCTTTATAGTGGAGCTTTTCCTCTATTAGGAGATTAGCTCCCCAAGAAAATTCCCGAAGTGGATTTCTGGATCACATGGCAGAAACCAATTTACCCCAAAGACATTGTGTTGCCAGATTGCTAACCCTGGGTCTCTCCCAGTGGGGCCTGGCGCCAGGCCTGAGCCCTCAGACTTGGGCTCTTCCTGCTTTGTAAACCAATGTTTAAAAATCTGTACCAACATGTTGGTGAGAAGAAGACTCCATGGTCCTCTTGCATTTTTTTTTTTTTTCTTGGTACCAGGAATCAAACTCGGGTCCTTGTGCTTATGAGGCAGGTTGTGGAACCACTGAGCTAAATCCCTGGCCATGGTCCTCTTGCATTTTAATAAGTAGTTTGAAGATGAATTTCCAGCCTTCTTGTGTTCTTACAAATTTACACACACACACACACACACACACACACATGTATGTATCATGAGTTTCCCATCTCAGATTTTATGGGCTTTTTATGTCACGAGGATAACAATTTTCTATTATTTAAGACACATTTTTCTAGCTTTTGGTTCGCTATATAATTATAAACTTTTTATATTTCCCTATGAATTTTATTTATGCCCTGTGTATTTGTAAGAACTTTTATTTTATTTGTTTTTGTTTTTGTTTTTGTTTTTTTTGCTACCAGGGATTGAACTTGGGTCCTTGCTTTTACAAGGCAGGTAGCAGAACCACTGAGCTAAAATCTCTGGCCTCCAAGAACTTTTAGTGGCTACACATTCATAATTTCTTATAAATATCTCACCAAGTAGTTCATTTTGATTTGATAACTGTACACATCCTTTAATTAATTAATTAATTATTTTTTTTGAGACAGAGTCTTCCTATATAGTTCAGGCTGGCCTTAAACTTACAGAAATCTTCCTGCCTCAGCCTTCCAAGTGCTAGGTTTACAAGTGTGCACCACAACACTTGTCTAATTTCATGTGTGTTTTGTTATGTATTTAGTAGGAATTTATTTTAGTGACGGAGGTGAGAAGTTCAATTTATTCTGTATTAAAATAGTAAGAAAACTGTAATTAATGAAGTTGAGTGTGTTCTTTCTCATGATTTGTTTAGGCTCTTTTGCCATATGTTACAGTATTAAATCTCATTGCTTCCAGTGACTTGTGTATCTTTCTGACCACTCATCTCACTACATATTTTGGTATTTTGGTAGTAAAGATCTGTTCATTTCTCTGTCAGATTTTTTTTTTTTTCCTGGTACTGGGGATCGAACTCAGGACCTAGTGCTTGCCAGGCAGGTGTGGCACCACTGAGCTAAATCCCCAGCCCTCTCTGTCAGATTCTTAAAGAAGTCCTGTTATTAATTTGATGACAGTACCATTAAAATTACAAGTTAATCGGGGGAGAATTTACATTTTTGTTTTAGTTTTTGGATTTTTAAATACTGGGGATTGAACCTAGGGCCTTGGTGCTGAGCTACATCCTCAGCCCTTTTTAAATTTTTAAAAAACCTTTGAGGCAGCATCTCCATAAATTGCCTAAGTTGCCTAGGCGGGGTTCAAGCTCGTGATCCTCCTGCTTCAGCCTCCCAGAGTCCTGGCATTACAGGGATGCACCACCATGCCTGATTGATAATTTACATCTTTACAATAAGGAACCTGGTTTTTATTACACAACTCATGTTTTTCTTGATGTCTGTGTGTAGCAGAGGATAGGAAGATCATACAGAGAACTGAAAATGTATCTTTTCTTTCCTTAAAGGGCTTTGGGTGTCCTTGAAGCTGTTGCCTGGTGACCTCACCCAGGTTCAGAAGAATTTCTCACATTTGGTTGACAGATCAACAGCAATAGCCCGCAAAATGGGCTTTCCTGAAATAATACTGCCAGGTAAACCCTTTCCTTGACTCTGGTTTCCGTTCTTCTTCATGCAAGCGTTTTCCCTGGTAGGACAGGTGGGGCCATTTGAGTCCCTAAAACTCAGTTATTTACATTCAGTGGCACCAGGATGGGCAGATACAGAATGGCAGTACCCTAAGGGCTGCCTGGTGGGCAGGGCCAAGAAGACAGTGTGAAATGTGTCTCAGCACCGCCTGCTTACACTTCCCCTCTGTGTGTTCTCTACAAATCCTTCCCTAGACTTCCACCACTGGGCGTAAGGGATCACTTGGGGTTCCTGTCCAGGAGACTCATGTGCTTGGTTCGCATGTTTCTTTCCTCCTTGGGGCACCGCCAGCCCTGGGGGCTTCTGGGCCCTGCTCAGTCTCAGGAGGACCCTGTGCTCCACACCCTTAGGCGCCTTCCGTGCTCCTGCATTCTTCATTCTGTGACAAGGTAGACATTCTGCACGTTTTTCCTTTGACTTGACCTTTTCGCCACCACGTGTTGGTGATCTGTATTCCGTAATCTTCACAGTGGTCTTCAAAGGAAGTCATCCTCTCAGAGAACTTTGTCAGTGTTAATATTAATTGATATTATTAATTAGTGTTAATAAAATTCCTAGAAAACCAATCATATCGTGTTAGGAAAATTCTAGAAAACCAACTTGTTATCTACGGCATAAAGATTTCTTTTCGAGTAATACAGGATCTTATTCCTCCTTCGGGAAATGAATGGGCAGAAATGATTTATCGCGGCATAGGTTGCTTACATATGATGTATCTGGAATGAATGAATGAAAGTTATGGAAGGGGGATTATCTACTCTTCTTCTTTCATACGAGAAGTTAGCTCTTTGTCCACTTAGTCCATCCATTCATTCCAGGGTGACGTATTCATCAACGTTCTGGGACCATGCTGTGTGTTCTTGATGTTAAAACAAATAAGTATGGGTAACAGTCCCTATTAAAGACATCTTTACTGCTAGGCGAGACAGGAATCTTAAAAAGTAAAAAAGTTCATCACTTGGACAAGATGAGTTTTTTTGTTTTTTTTTTTTTTTTTAATCAGGCATGAAACGGAAAATGTGAGGATGTTTTTTATCATTAGGATTGGTTCACAGGCAGCAGTGGGCTTTAAGATTTGTCTTGGACAGTGGTTTTCAATGTTGGGCTCCTGGTCAGGGACTCGGATAACTTGGGAAACAAGAGGCGGAAATCAGGGTGTCCTGGGGGTTCCTGGGGGTGAGCCAGGTCTGAGGAACCCAGGTGTAGAAGATGTTCACTCAGCCTGGAGCTCCATCCTTCTGTCCCCATGTGCATGTGCTCAGCCACCTTCTAGCTTTTCTCTCCACCTCCCCGGGCAGCTCAGGTGCTCCTTCTGCGCCCTCCTCTTCACACTCAGGGCCTTGGACATGATCATCTCTGCTCCAGCCTCTCCAGAGTGCCCGCCCCGAGGATTGCTGAGTCTTAACGGGTCTCTCCAGCCTCCGGTTCAACCCTGGCCTCTCATGTGGCACTTGCAGCCCCTCCTGCTTGGAAGCACCCTCTGCCCTCTCATTGGTGACCCTGTGCTTTTCTCTCCCTTTCCCTGGGGCCACTCCTAGGAGTCCTCTGCCGCCTCATTATCACCTTGTGCTTTGCTTCAGTATTCCTCAGCACCTGTCCTTGGCCCCGGTGTGAGTTTGCTAGGGCCACTATGACAGAGTTCCTCAGACTAGGCGTTATGAAAAACGGCACCTCACTCTTGCAGTTCTGAGTAGAAGACCAAGGTCGAGGTGTCTGCTTGGCTGTTTTCCCATGGGGCCTTTGGTCTTGGCTTGCGGGCCGCCATCTCCTCGCTGTGTCTTGGCAGGGCTTCCCTCTGTTCCGGTCTGTGTGTCCCATCCGTCCATTGCTTTCACACCCTATCTTCACCACCCAGACTCCTTCACACTCCATTGCCATAGGGCTCATTACTCCTTGCCTCGGGACTTGAGTGGAGACTGTTCGCTCCCCTCCCTGGATCCCTTTCCTCTTTAATTGCTTCTTTTCCATTCAGCATCCTCTTGTGTACCTCATGCTCCTGGGCATCTAGAGCTCGTGCCCTCCGTTGTGTTTTCTCGCAGGGGAGGGCACCCCCATGAACCCAGCTGCACAAACAAGCTGAAAGTCACCTTGGACATCTTACTTTCTTTCCCTCACACATAGAAAGACTGAGGGACTCTTGAACCATCAGCTTGTCTGTCCCCATTGCTGCTTTGCACACTGACACCCTCATGTGTTCATTTGTGACTCATGGACCTGTCCCCCAAGCCCAGCGAGGCCACCTCCGAGCACATAGCCCAGTTCTTGCTACAGAGATGGGGCCCAGCCAGTTCTTGGAAGTGAATGTTACTGCACCTTGTGATGAGGCCGTATTCAGCCAGCTATTGTCTACACTTTTAATACAATCATGCATGGTGTAATGATGGTTTTACCACCCGAGAAGCGTCAATGGAGGATTTCTTGTGGCCCAAGTCTCAGAGAATGTACTTACTGTATATAAACCAGAGCAACTACAGCAGCATTAAGCGAAACACCTTGTGGGGCCACTGTCGTACGCGCAGTCTGTTGTTGACTGAAACACTCATGCCTGTGCTTAGCATTGGAATTGCTTTGTGTCATCTAAGGCTTCTGACACAAATTACCAGTTTCTCCACTGGCAGTGTGGCAGTGAAGATTTCAAAGTGGACTGTGCGAACTCACCTTTTTATCTTTCTCCCTCAAAAACGATAGGCAGGATTTTTCTTTTTCGAATGGAAGGAGTGATGAAAATGGCAGGTGCTCAAACTGTGCAGCCCTGTTTGCTCATGTTGCTGTAAGGTTTTGTTTTTCACAAGAGAAGACGGTGTATATCCTGCAGTTGTTGTCATTTCTTAATACTGTGTCTCCTCACCCAGGAATGTGAAATGCTTTGTGTATTTCACCAGTCTTTTGTGTATCTCAGTAACATTTAAACTTTCGTTCAGTGTGAGAATTTCATGTTTATTAACACATTTTTTTGTTTGTTTTTTTGAGTCAGGGTCTCACTATGTAGTTGAGACTGACCTGGAACTCACTATGTAGCCCAGGCTGGTCTTGAGCTCACAGCGATCCTCCTGCCTCAGCCTCCTGAGCGCTTGGGATTTCAGGTGTGCGCCACCACGCCCGGCTAACGAATTTTAATACTTTTTTCTGGTTAACAAAAAGCCCTCAATAAAAGCAATCGCCCTTATTATTAGCAGATGTATTTCCAAGGCACTGTTGGAAAACAGTTACTAAATAATAATTAATCATTTACTTAGTAGTAAAGAATTACTTCTGAAGAGAATGTCTTATAAAAGCTGCATTTCAAAGACATGATGGACCGGGAAAAGAAGCTCAAGAGATGGACCTGTGAAAGGCTGTTGTTGAACGAATAGCTCATTCTGATTTATCGCTTATGTTGCATTACACCTTGAAAGTCTGAAACAGCTGTTCTCAGCACCACTCACAGATGAGCTGTCGCATTGCAGGAGACGTTCGCAATGACATTTACGTCACCCTGATCCATGGTGAGTTTGACAAAGGGAAGAAGAAGACGCCCAAGAATGTGGAGGTGACCATGTCTGTGTTTGACGAAGACGGAAACCTCTTGGAGGTACACGGCATCTCCCCGGAACCCCACTGCCCTCACACCCTGCTTTACAGTCCGAGAGACTCTGGCCTTCTTGTTTTCCATAGTAGGGTGGTTTGGTTGTTCATAAGGAAACAGTGTAAAAGCTGTGCAATTTGTGATTATCGTGGACCAGTTTTACTAATGAGGCCATTTACAGTCTTTATTTCTGGGCTAAGAAGTAGCTCCTGCCACTGTAGATCAGGGATGCACAGGTTCTTGAGCATTTTCAGTGACACTTGAGCGTAGTCATTTCCTTTGGCGCCTAAGCAGGGTACCACAGATACCCAACCACTTTGAAGGACACCTCACTTTCAACTGGGCCAGAGGAGCCTAGGGGGCCCCTGAGGGCCCACTGAGCTCCGAGGGCCTGGGACAGAGGTCAGCCCTCTGCTGCTCTCTGGCTTGATCATCAGGAATCTGCAGTCCCAAATAGAGAAGTTCCTTTGTCTGGAAGACATGGGAGTTAAAGGCAGAGCTGGTATGGATCCAGGGCTCCTGACTTCCAGTCCACAGCTCTCCAACTGTGGCAGCTTTCTGCCTGTGCAGAGGAACCACAGAGATAAGATTAGGAGATCTGGATTCTGACATTAAAGAGGAGAGGTGGGGTGGTCACTGCAGGCCGTCATCACCTCCGCCAAAACCTGGCGTCCTCATAGATGCACCATAGTTAGCAGCCGTGGAATCTAAGAGTAAAGCTCTTCACTCAGGGACAAGGAACTAGGTCCTTCTCTTCCCCATGGAGGTTACCATCTTTGAAGGAAACAGATTTACAGATTTGCTAAGCGAGGTTGTGTTCTATGTCAGAGGGATAAACAGTGCCATTTGATCCCCACGGGTCAAAATGCACACCCCCCCCAGTTGCTCATTTCATAGTTTTGCAAACCAGCTTGGAGACATCGCTATCGAGTCCTTGTTCTCCTGAACTGGTTGACTCATTACTAGGAAAAGGCACAGCCCCGAGTTTGAGGGAACATGCTGAACAGTTACACCAAGTCCCCAGCCAGATGTGGCATTGCCAGCTTATAACTGCAGCACCCTGGGAGGCTGAGGTAGGAGGACAGCTAATGCAAGCCCACCCTGGGCACCTTAGCAAAATTGTCTCTCCCCAGAATGGCCTGGGTTTATATCAGTGTAAAGGCAGGAGATAAAAGAGGGAAGGACAGGAGGGAAGGGAGAGAATGTATGCTGTAGAGTAGATGAGAGAGTAAAAATCACAGCACTCAAAGGTGCTGGGTCCTTTACCTGCTACCAGATTTATATACTTTGACCCATTGAGAAAAGCGGTAGAAATCCAGTCCTGCTCTACTCCTCAGCCCTTATGATCCATCAGCTCACAGGTGCCAGTATAAGGCATGCACTAAACGTGTTGGGAGCAGGGACTCATGCCAAGTGTATTCAGTACTCTTGCATTCAGGACGGTATAACCCCTCCCAATGTTTTCTTTCCATCCAAAGAAAGCAATTCACCCTGGTGCTGGATACGAAGGCATGTCGGAATACAAGTCTGTCGTCTACTACCAGGTCAAGCAGCCCTGTTGGTATGAGACTGTCAAGGTAGGAATTCGAGATTTGTCACTTGTGTCATCTGTTAAATCTCACTTATATCCCTCTCTTCTTTTCACTCCCAAATCATCGGGCCTCACTGTGAAGTTGTAGATAAGGTAAATGAATTGGTAGTTTGTCATTCTGTATCGGAGCATCCACCTTTCATAAACCCAGCACTCTTCACTAACATTCTTACTCATAACGTACAGAAATCCGAAGAGAGGAACTTGGGGTTGTAGGAATAAGGCAGCAGACTGCCAAGATGGTCCAGAACCAAGCGAATTTCACACCCTGCAAGCACTTTCCTAGCATGTGTTTTTCTTGGCCCCTATCCAAGTTTTCTGGGCTGCTTTTCAATCTTCAAGAGAGTTTTACAGATTCCAATCCCTTCTCAGATCGGGCATCTCCTGTGGGCCCACAGTGGCCCTGCGTATTACTGAACAAGCTGAGGCACAAGCCCTCTTCCTCCGAGAGGGGACCCCGAGGCCCTGAAGCTCCTCTGCGTCAGCCCCTGACCTGGAGGCCCTTCCTCTGAACCCCAGGCTGCACCCACACTTTTGGATGGCCAGAGTCACAGGAGCGCTTCCTAGAAAACTGGAAACAAAACAAAGCCCTGCCCCCAAGTACGGCGCTCAGCTCACTTCCGAGTCTTATGGCTCATGTTTTGCATGATACCATTCGTATGAATTCAAATTTATTGTTTTGTTTTCTAAAGCTGCTTCTCTCAGGCATTGTGAGTTTTTCAGAAATACTCGTTAAGATGCTTGCATAATGTTCCATTATATAATCGTGCCAGGGGTTTTTGAACTATTTCCCAAACATTCGCTGCTCCTTCTCTTGCCTGGTGGATGTTTCCCTGTCCCCTCTCTGAATCTGAACACTTCTGTGCCTCATTATTTTCTTTTCCTTGTGATCTAGCCTCTGATCTTATCTTATACATCTTGCAGTCTGAAAGGTCCTATGTAGATCTCAAAGTACTGGTTTTTTCCCTCTGAACTATTGACTGTTTCATAAATGAGAAAATACTAGAAATTTGTAATGTCTCCATACTCTGAATTTAGAATAAACACCAAGCTGTTCTGAGCTTCTTTTATCATAAAAATAGCTTGGTGTCCTGGTAATGAAATCTTAAAGCCGTCTTACTCTGTAGGTATTTGTGCCATAGTGAAATACTAACATTGAACCTAATCATTGTTGTGTATCTCGAAATACCTGGGAGCAAGAATGTTGAATATATACTCACCGTAAAGAAAGGATCGTGCATTATGTACCTCTGTCAGCTCTCTGAGGAATGTAGTCACCGTGTATGCTCCGGAAACATGGGCTAATAAAAATTCAAAAAGAAAAGATAGAAGTCTAAACTGGAGATACAGTACCCTGATTTGATGACTGGACATTGTATATATGAATCAGAACATCCTGATGTACCTCCTAAGTAGTTACATTGTTGTGTCACCATAACCAAAAAATGCACCAAACGTGGGCCTCATTCTATAAAATGGGCCTTCACTGCAAGGTGCTGCTTGTCTCTAAGCTGTTGACGCTTTCCGTCACGCAGGTATTCATTGCTATAGAGGATGTCAGCCGCTGCCACATCCGATTCAGCTTCCGACACAGGTCGTCTCAGGAATGTAAGTACCACGTGGTTCTTTCATGGGGAGCATTTTCTTACACTTAACCGTGCTTTTGTGCTGTAGTTTCGTGCTTGCAAAGCGGACACTTGGCGACTCTGTTTAAGAATTTATTGGTGCAGAGGGACTCAGGAGAGTCCGTTTTCCTGGGCTTGCCAAGTCTGCGCTGCAGCTGTGCCCCAGCGTTTGCCCCAGTGAGTTCTGTAAGACCCTGGCAGGTGCTGCCTGGCAAAGAACGCGGAGGTCGTGTAGGAAGTGGCATTTCCGCTGGGACAGTCACAGTGCACGTGGCCACACAGCTGAGACATCCTGCAGCGAGAAGACCACTGGATCCTCCGGTTCACACGTTGGCTTCTCTGAAGTGGGAAATGAGTAGCAAACTGTTCTGAGAGTGATGCTGGCACTTCTGCAGCTCTCTTGCTGTTATTCGGTACTGTATAGAAGAGTAACTCCTTCGTCCAAATGTGTGCACCTCACTCGTCCACATCCCGGGCCGCAGGCAGAGCTCGGTATCTAACCACCAGTGGGACGCAGCCCCCCAGGGCCGTGGTTAGGAGGATGGACCGGTAGGTGGGTGATTATGTCCAGAAAAGGGTGACTTGTGCCACACATGGGCAGAGCTCTGGAGTGTGGCTCAGCTCCTCTTGCCCCATCTGCGTATTTATGCATCGGGTTTCCTACGTCTTAGCTGAGACTCGAGGGTGAGCAGAAGTCGGCCCGGGGAAGAAGTATGGGGATCCAAAATGAGCTCAGCATGGCTAAAGTGGGAACAGCAGAGCAAGAGTAATATTGGGTTGGTGGCACACACCTGTAATCCCAGCACCATGGGAGGCTGAGGCAGGAGGGTCACAAATTCAAGCCCAGCCCAGGCAACTTCATGACTTAGGAGACTCTATCTCAAAATAAAAGTTTTAGGGATGTAGCTCAGTGTGAAAGCTCTGGATTCAATCCTCAGAATCACTACTACTATTACTACTAATACTAATAATATCATGTTAAACTTTATGAAATTGCCATTTTTGTGGACTAAAAAATCCAATGTCAGTCATTGCATATGGTTCTGCATAAAACAGGTGTCCTCAGTATCTCTTATGGAACCCCACACAGATAATAAAATCTGCGTGTTCAAGTCCATTAAGTAAAATAGCGTAAGACTTTCTGTAACCTACGCCATCTTCCGTATTCTTCAAATTGCCTCTGCATCATTCACGGTGCCGGATGCGGTGCGGTGCCGTGCACACACTTGTCTTGCTGCACTGTGCAGGGAATAACAACAAGGAAGGGGGTGCTGCGTGTTCAGTGCAGGTGCAGCCGTCATAGCCTAACATGGTCCACGCCAGTAGCAATGTAAGGTCATCCTGATCCAGAACTGGTTGAATCCAGATAGGGCAGACTAACCACGTAGACAAAGCTCAACTAACATCTTAGTTTGTAGCCTACGCTTCTTAATGCCCCCTTTATATGCTATTTTTAGTATCCACGGTAATCTGACAAGATAGATCTGAACTTTCACCCCCAACTGCTCATAGAAAACCCAAGGTGCCGAGAGGCCCACAGGGCTAACTAACCAGTGATGGGGTTGGACTGATGCCAGGCTCTCTGATTCTAGGTGATTTTAGCTGGCCAGGGGCCAGTTCGTGAAAGATGAGATTCTTTTTTCCCCGTGTTAGAAAGGAGCTATAGCAAGCTGGCTTCTGGTTTTAGTTTTGCTGTAGGTTTGCGGGCGGGGGCTAGCTTTCTCCACATACCCCAGTGTTGCAACAGCCTAGGTGACCCTAAGCAGGAGAACGGGGGTATAGGAGAAGTAGTGGGGCTATAGATTACTGCAGAGGCGGTGTGGGGTCGTGACAGTCACTGCAGACCCCAGAGCCATGTCTGCACCGAGAACTGCCTACAAGTCGCCAGGTTTCGAAGTCTAGACTGGGCAGGGAGCCTACAGGCCGACTCGTGCCCTTTCTCCCCGCATGGGACCCCGCTCCTTGGGTGCCACAAAATGCCCCTAGCTGTGTGCTGGGGAGCAGTGAGCAGGCATAATTAGCCCTGAAGACTAATAACTACCACAGCATCTGTCAGAACAGCCTAAAGTGAGGGACCTCACCAAAGGCTTTGAAACAGGCCAGTTGCCTGGGTGAACTGGGCTTTGGGGGCCTCCCTCTGGCTGCAGGATGGAGAACGTGCTGGGTGGGAAAGGACTGGAGCCCATTAGGAGGAGTTTGTAGAAGTAAATAGCAGAGCAGGTACGGTGGCACACACCTGACACCCCCAGAACTCTGGGAAGCTGAGGTAGGGCGATTGTAAGTTTGAGCCCAGCCCAGGTAACTTAGTGAGACCCTGTCTTAAAATTTAAAAACAAAACAAAACAAAACAAAAACAAAAAATGAAAGGAGCTGAGGATGCTGCTCAGTGTGAAGGCCTTGGTCTCAGTCCTGAAGGAGGAGGAGCAGGAAATGGAAGAGGTGAGGGTGACCCTGCCTCGGGTAGGACCAGAAGTGGAGGAGAGAAAGAGGGAGCAGCTCCGCAGGAGTTAGGACGAGGTGTTGGCATGGGGAGAGTGGGCGGCAGCACCAGCATTTCCAGTTCGGCGGATTCTGGGGTGCTGGGCTCCTTTATCAGGGGGTGTGGGAAGAGGCGCCACCCTGGGGCGGCCGCTGATTTCGGAGTGGGGCTCACTGTGCCTCTCTGACTTGTGTGCGTCGGAGTCTGACATCACTCTTCAGAGCAAATGTGAAATCAAGCGTCTCTGCCCGGCGTTACATACATTTCTGTCTTTTCAGCCAGAGATAAATCCGAGCGACCTTTTGGGGTGGCCTTCGTGAAGCTGATGAACAACGACGGGACGACGCTCCGGGACGGGAGGCACGACCTGGTGGTGTATAAGGTGCTACCCGCAGGATGAGGCCCAGAACGTTCGAGGATGTCTTTCCCCCGCTGAAACTGGCTTCTAAGCCTCCTTTCAGATTTGCACAGACATCAGAGTCCTCTTGAGAGCAATACACATTTGTCCCTTAATGTCCCCAAGCCAGCAGGGTCTGGTTTCCATCCCTCTCTGGACAGCGAGTGGCATTGTTATTACGCCTTTGCACAGCATCTCACCTGCATGCAAAGAGTTGCCCCGGGCCGAGCAGGGAAGGGGCAGCCTCACCCCCGCTGTCGCCCCGCTGGCCATCAGTGCCGCTCGGGCCTGGTTAGTGGGGTGGGTGTGGTAGGATGTGCCTTTCGTATCTCCATGCACCAGGCACCACTGCTGTGTTCTTGGGCCTTGCTTCCTTTCCTGCCTGCGTTCTGTCCTCTTAACTGTTGCCACGTCCTTGCGTGCACGAGACTGTAAAGTATAAAGTAGATGCTGGATCTCTATCCAGGAATATCCGGGGCAGGAGGAGGCCGCACAGATGGCAGCTCTTTTGAGATGCATCTGTCTGAAGAATGTTTTCCGTAAAATCTCCATCATTTGTAATACTTCTAGAAGGTGCAGCAAACCACTTCTTCCTCTGTCACCCCAAGGATGTACAGACAGCACTGACCATTTATAGGTTCAAGAATATGAAATCCAGCTGTATTCTGTAACACAGTTACTTACTTCTGGCAGAGACTAGAACATTCTGGCTTCTGGTTTATAACTTATTCCATTTTCATTCTGTGAAAAAATTGTTTCTGGGCTCAAATTCAGCCCAAAGATATCACCGTGCCTGAGTTGGGGCGTGGGAGCGTGAAGGGTACATTGACAAAGCCACGCACCCCGTCCAGACCTGCACTGGCTCCCGGTAGAAGCTCCCTCGTGCATGTAGGAAATGGTGCCCAAGGGCATCCCTAACAGGCCTCCTCCTCAGGGTGACAACAGGAAGATGGAAGATGCTAAGTCCTACCTGACGCTGCCTGGGACCAAGACGGAGATGGAAGAAAAGGAACTCCAGGCATCCAGAAACCCGGCCGCCTTCATCCCTAGCAAGGACAGCACGAAGGACAGTTTTCAGATCGCCACACTCATCTGCTCCACAAAGCTCACTCAGAATGGTAGGTGACCATGGGGACGACAGTGAGACAGAGGAGCTTTGTGCCCAGGGCTCCAGGGCTCCCCGGCCAGGCTCGTGGGGCTGCACGTAGCGGGCCAGGTCTTCAGGGCAGGCGCCGCAGGACTGGGCGCTCCTCGGTGACATTCTAGGGCAGTGCAGCACTGCGGGATTTCTCTGTCACTCCTTCCAGGGTTCCCTTCCGTCATGAGCAAGAATTCTGGGGACGCTTCTGGGAGTAGGTGTAAGGGGAGGTGCTGGCGAGGGCAGAACCGTTCCCCTGCCCAGGGGACGACAGCGCAGGGAGTCCTGTTCCAGTCCGTTCCTCGTTTTCCCCTCCCTCCCTCCCTCTGCTCTTTCCTTCCTTTTTGTTGTTGCTGTCGTTTAAGTTTTTTGGGACAGCTGTAGCCTGGGTTCCCTGCTGTAGCAGGGTGGCCTGGAACTCATAGTCCTCTGCCTTAGCCTCCCGAGTGCTGGGACTGTGGACCCACACCTCCATGCCAGGCAGACTTTTCTCTTTCCCCATGTGTTCTTCCCTCTTGTTTTATCCAAGAGTTCGAGAATTTTTTATAAAACCACTGAACAGTTCAAATGGGGCTTCTTTTTTATTTCACCTTCAAATCTCTGATAGCAGCTGTAGCCTCTCCTGAATATGGACTACACAGCACTCGGTAGCCACCAGCAGCTTCTTATCCATTTAACCTACATCATACAAGGAATCCTGCTGAGAGTTGGTGTGGTGGTACAGGCCTGTAATCCCAGCTCAGGGGAAGTTGAGGCAGGAGGACTGCAAGGCAGAGCAGAGAGCCTGGGCTGCAGTTATACTCTGTCTTTAAAAAATGAAAAAAGGAAAGCAAAGAAAGAAAAGAATATGGAGTCCCAGTGAATATAAGTAAGCCAAAAACTGTCTGCCTTAGAAATTCCATATCCCCTATGACTTGTGGACAGTCAGTCCAAGTTCAGCCTTACAGCAGCAAAGAGAGACGGTTCCAGGGATGACGAGCCTTTTAGAGCGTTCAGCGGTAACAAGCAGCCCTCTGCGGCACACGAGCCGAGGTTCGCCTCCTGGGGGACCGTGGGGTGCCCTGAAGGGTCAGATCTTGGCTGGGCTCTGGGAAGGTCAGTCGTGGCTGGCTAGAGAAGAAGGATGGCATTTCTACTTGGACGAGCGGCTAGACGTAACAGGGTCAGTGCAGGGCAGCAGATCCGGAGGGCAAAGTAAGAATTCACCCGTCAGAAATTAAGCCAGAAAGTTTTGTGAGCTTCATAGAAGACATGACAGAATTGCACCGCTCCCATAACCCTGACTGGAAAAAGAATCGACATAATAGATTGATAATCGGTGTTCAAAGTGTCTGATACTTTTGGAGGATGAATGTGACTTTTAGAAATTGAACCTTGGTGAGAATGAGAGATTTCTGTCTGAGGATGTTTCCTTGAATTTATAATAGGAAAATACTGGAAACAACCCAAATGTCCAGTAATTAAGTTCCAATTGTTGAATTTCATGATTTTATTAATTTGTAATTTTATAACTAAATGATAAAATACATACAACTGGTAAATCCTGAATTTTAAACATAGTCAAGGCTGGGGGGTTGTGTTTTAATCACATCCCTGGTTTGTTTAAATCTGAGGGGACGATTTAGGGTCAGACAGTCTGGGTGTTGAGGGTCACTCAAGGAGAAGGGGCCGGGGATTTAGCTCAGTGGTTCTGAGGACCCGAGTTCAATCCCCGGTACCAAAAAGAGGAAGAGAGAAGGCTTTTACTGAACATCTAATAGATGATCCTTCCAGACTGGAGTTCAGGGAACAAAAAGGGCAGTAGATAAGAGTTTGTAAAATTAACTCGTAATAAAAAGCTAAAGGAATTTTTGCCGTGGGACAAAGGCACTTGGCAGAGATACGGTGAGCGTCCGTAACTGGGAATGGTTCTGAGTCGCTCCTGGGTTTGTTTCTTCTGACTTGGGAATCAGAGAAAACCAGAGTGATTTCTGTGGAGAAAGGAAGAGCTGAAGAACACAGTAGCCATCATCCCTGCCTCGGTGTTTGTGGGACCGGGGCCCCTCTCTGGAGCTGGGGGCTGCCTTTCAGGTTTAGGAGACCACAGGACAAACCACAGGAACTGACGGCAGACTGATCTTGTTGGCTCTTGTGTTTATTGACTGACTTGTTTTTAAAAACCCAGCACAGTCCAATGAGCATAGAGCCTTTTGGGGTGTGACCTGGACTCGGGGTGTGAATGCTCTGTGGTCCAGGAAGGGAGGAGACGCTCAGGCCTTGCAGGAGGAGGCCTCATCTCCCTCCAGTGACCCCAAGCGCTCTAACCCTCCACCCCGGACGTGAGGGCACGGAGGCGGCCGCTACCATTCCCTAATTAATGACCGTGGTGTTGTTGTTTTTTTTTTCCCCCCTCTTTGTTTTATTTTTTTTTCAGCTTTAATTATGTTTATTGGTACATTTTATGGATACAGCACAGTTACATTCATTGTTGGGATCTTGTACCTCTACATGACAGGTCTTGATTCTCATTTTTTCCCCTTGTCCCTGCCCTCCCTTCACGCCCTCCTCCCCTCCCCATCTACAAACACTTTATTTTCATCTTTTCATTCTCTCACATTTTTTTCTTTTCCCTTATTACCCTTCCCCTACCCATTCCACCTTCCCTACACCTTTAGCTCCTTTCTTCCCATTTCTAGATGTCAGTAATCTTATTTGGATCTTATGTATTATTGCAGATTATTCACACCAGGGAAACTATTCACAGTGTTGTTTTTATAAAGATTTTTTTGTAGTACTAAGGATTAAACCCAGGGACTACATTGAGCCACATCGACCACCCTTTTTAAATTTTGAGACAGCATCTTGCTAAGTTGCCTGGCTGGGCTGGAACTTGATATCCTTCTGCCTCAACCTCATAGTGAGGCCCTGTCTAGAACAACAACAAAAAGATCCGGTGTATGTGTGTATTTAGTGGTACTGGTGGTTGAACCCAGGGCCTCAGGCATGCTAGGCAAGCTATATGCCCAGTCCTTTTTATTTATTTTTAAAACAGGGTCTCACTAAGTCACTAAGCTGCCCTCAAGCTTAGGATTCTTCTGCCTCAGCCTCCTGGGTAGCAGGGATTACGGGCCTGCGTCCATGTGCCTGGAAGAAATAAAGGTGAGGCAGAAGGATCCCACGTTTTAGCCCAGCCTGAGCATCCTAGCAAGACCCTGTCTCAAAGTAAAACAGTAAAAACGGGCAAAGGATGTGTAGCTCAGTGCAAAGGCCTTGGGTTTCCATCCCTAGTACTGGAAAAATAAGGGTGGGGGGAAGAGGAAGGAAGGAGGGGAGGAGAAAAAGAAAAGAAGGGACAGAAAAAGAAAATTCAACTTTGAAGCAGGACAGTATTCTGCCTGAGCTTATAAATGTGATAGGAATTGGTTTTGAAGACAGATTTGTATCTCCAAAGCTTATAATTCTTCCTTGTATTTCTTTTCTTTTTTAAATTATGTGGCCCCTAATTCTCTCCCACAGGTATTACTACCCTGAGTTTGGTGGTTGTCGTTCCCTTGCTTTTCTTTGTGGTTTTACCTCATGTTCGTATGTATTCAGTTTTGCTTGTTTTCCCCCACTTTGTATCAGTGCAGGCGTGCTTCTGATTTTGCTTGTCTGCTTACTTCTCTGAAGAACTCTGAGGGAGGCGAGGTAATGGAGCGTCGAGGCTTTGGCTTCTGGAATCCCATAAACTTGTTCCATTTCTAGTACCCTGCAGCAGTTTCATGGTCTATGGCACGTAATTTGACATTGCGAAGTTACTCCCTCTTCTCTCTGAGCCAGGGAGAAGGGAAAGATGAAGTGGGGCACGAATTAAAGGCAGGAAGGTCCCTTACAACTACGTGAGTGCTGTTTTTCCCCCCATACTGGGGATTGAACCCAGGGCCTTTGCACTGAGCTACACCCACGGGGTGTCCCTCACCCGCTTTTGAGACAGGGTCTCTAAGTTGTCCAGGCTGGCCTTGTATATATTTGCACTACTCCTGCTTCAGCCTCCCAAATAGCTGGCATTACAGCCATGCACCGCTGCCCCTGGCTTCAAATCACTGCTTCCTATATTAGCTTTTTGTGATTATGTCATTATTTTGAAAATGTGAGTTCTAGTCAGATATGATTTTATATTCTTGTTTATTAGCAGTGAATTTTTTTCTCTTTGGAGAATGAGAAAGGTCGTTCTATGCTGACACAGATAAGACAAAGAACGGAGAAGGCACTTCTTGAATGAGTTCCTGTCCACAGCAGGTGTCTTACTGAAGACTTTTGTAGCTATGTCCTGAAATGGTTTGGATCGCTCCTTCTGATGTTTGTGGTTTGTCGTCTTTCTTCCTAGTCGACCTGTTAGGATTGCTAAATTGGCGTTCCAACTCCCAGAACATGAAACACAACCTGAAGAAGTTAATGGAGGTGGATGGGGGAGAGATTGTTAAGGTACGTTCATATGTCCGTGTCTAGGAATGTGGCTGCTGTGTGATTAGCTCAGCCTATTAAACCAGTCGTTGTCACTGTAAGATTTGTTATCTGTATGGCTAAGCAAGTGTGCTGCTATTGAAGAAAATGTTCCTTTTAAGCCTGTTCGGTTGAAACCAAATCGTCCCCACATTTCTACAACATAGAGCTGAACAAGTCCACTAAAATAATCTGTCTTTCTTCTCTTCAGTTTTTGCAAGATACATTAGATGCACTTTTTAACATTATGATGGAAATGTCAGACAGTGAGACGTACGACTTCCTTGTGTTTGATGCATTGGTAAGCAACGAGACGTATTACCTAGTGTTTATTACCTAGTGCTTATTACCTTGTGCTTATTACCTAGTGCTTATTGCCTAGTGCTTATTGCCTTGTGTTTATTACCTGGTGCTTATTACCTGGTGCTTATTACCTAGTGTTTATTCTTGCAGCTGTGCAGATATCACCTGTTATAAATAATTGCCATGAACCTGCTCCTACATAAACTTCTGTATTCATCATCATCATTTCCCCAGGCTAAATTTCCAGAAGCAAAATACCAAACAAGTAACTTATTTTGTGGGCCTTTATTTCTTTGTTTTCTGTTAGATCTCACTTTTCAGCATGCTTTCACTTTCTCATTAGGGAAAACAAAGGGCTTAAGTTAGAAAGCATGAAACATTTACCATTGTCAAGTCCACGCCTAGGAGGTACCTGTGACCGGGAAGGCTGTGGTGCAGTGTAGCTGTTTGCCCTGCGTGTTCAGGCCAGGAAGACTGAACTGAATTCGCAGGTCAGAGGAGATGCTTGTTAGTATTGAAAGGTGCTGTGTGCAGCCCGGTAGACAATTGAATCTGTCAGGCAAAACGCTGAAACCCATTCCAAGAACTGAAATCAAAACACAGATTAGTGATGGTCAGAGTCTGGGGAGCGTAGAGGCGTTGGCGGAGGAATTGGACAGGTCCGCAGCAGCCATGTTTCCTCCTTGCTGTGGGGAACGTGCAGAGCGAAGGTCAGGGTCAGGTATCTGGGAAAGTGAGACCGTGGGTGATGGATGCTGGGAAACAAGGTGTGGAGATCAAACCTGGGGGACAGAGCATCTGGCCATGGGCACACGTGCAAGCCCCCGGTGCCTTTCCTTTGCACACTGTCATACATAGGTGCAGTGTGGTTATTGGTAGATCGTGTACCTCTCAACCAGAAGAGGTACCATAAGGGGAGAATTGGGAGACAGCACTGGCTGGTGACGTTCAGACTGTTGGGGGTCCTAGCACCATACTCAGGTAAAAGTGTCCCAAGCTACTTAATTAGCTTTGTCCTGGGGTTAGATATTATTATTCCCGCAGATAAGCTGTTTCCATATACTCCTTCCTGCTGGGTTTTTTTGATGCCACACTTAAGTTACCCATGCGAGACTTAGTTCCTTTTGACACAACAGCTCCCTGAGGCCAGAGATGCTGGTTTGTATTAGTTCATTTCTACCAGTGATGGCGAACCTTTTAGAGCTTTCAGTGATATAAACAGACTGCTGTGGCACGTGTGTAGTGGGCTCACCACCACTTATTTAGACCACGTAGTGCAGTGCCTGGCACATAACTATTTCCTGCTTCTGCATTAATTGAATATAAACCACAATACTTGGCTGCAGCGCTGGGCTAGTAGAAGAGGAACGCTGCAGGAATGATCAAGATGGAAAAGAGGGCACCGAGAGATCAACGTGCAGCTTGTTGACAGAATGCCTGGGATTGTACAGTGCTGCCATTGGTATTTTTCTACTTTGGCAGGTATTTATCATTTCCCTGATAGGAGACATCAAGTTCCAGCATTTTAATCCTGTACTTGAAACCTACATCTACAAGCACTTCAGTGCTACTTTGGCATATGTGTAAGTATGGCTCAAGGGACATCGGCGTGGTTGGATTGTTGAATTTGTGCTCTGAGACTGGAGTTTTGAAAAATGCAAGGAACCTGAATTCACTAAAGTAGCTTTAAGTGCAGAACCTGCTAAGTATTCCACCTCTGAAAGAGGTGCCTGGTTCCGACCCTTCCTTTCTAAGAAATAAGGTGCTATCTCTTAACAATCCACAAAGATAGTGGTCGAAGTCAGTTAGGAGCAGAGCAAGGACAGATGGCCAAACTCAAATCTTAGGAGTTGGATGTCAGTGAGATGGGCGTGCAGCACCAAGGGGGTCAAACAGTGAATTAAGACCAAGTCTAACAGACGAACAGGTCATATCCTCAACCCCACTCCACTGGTGTCATATGGAATCGATTACTTGTAGGGTGTAAATTTGATTCTTTGCCGGGGATTTAGCTCAGTGGTTCGGTGGACTGCCTTGTAAGCACAAGGTCCCTAGTTCAATCCCTGGTACCCCCCCCCAAAAAAAAGATTGGATCTTCTTTCTTTTGCACAAAAGGAAGTGTTTTCTACATTTCTCATAGCGCACTCGTCTTTCTGCATTTGGTCTGTGAATCCTGAATAAGGAAAGCAACTGGTGTTTGCTGTGTTTCTCCCTAGAGTGCTGAGGTCCCCATGGTGCAGGTGGCCTGTCACCCCCACCTCCTGGCACTGCAGTCATGGTACAGAGCAGTGCAATAGACAGTGACAGGAATGTGCCTGGGGTTGGTAAGCAATCTTTTGGACAATGGTTTACGCTGATTGCTGCTGGCTGCTGTGTCAGGTCAGGTCATTGATCCCTGAAGTTCTTTCCTAAATTAAACAAGCATGACGGTACCGAAACACGGTTACATAAAGGAGGTGTAGTGTAGCACAGTCACCAGCTAATGTGATGGCCATGATGCCCCCTGGGTTGGGGAGGTGGCACTACACCAGCAACAGGATCTTCCCAGCCAGCACCCTCTCTTTCCAAGTTGGCAGCACTTACAAGTTAAATCCTGTTGGCTGTGGATCCGAGCTACACTAAGCCAAATGAGATACCCCCCACAACTAGTAACACTCTGGGTTTATCGACAACACTTGATTATTTCCACGTTTCCTCTGGATTCTGTGCTAATTCTAGAAAAACTCAGATTCTCGGAAGGAAAGTTCAAAATACCCAAGCCTTCAAAGGTCTGAGTTAGCATAAGCCCAAGACCCTCCCTAGTCCAGAGACTGGAGAGACACGAAGAACAATGTAAAAATCCAGAAGGGTTCTGTCTGTAGACGTGTTCAGAACCGTAGTGTTCTGGACAGCCGGATTGAGCTCTGCTCCCACACTCAGTGAAGTTCCCGTCTGATGCTATATTTGTGGATCTCACAAGGTTGGGGTGCAGTGGAGGGAACTGGTTGAAGGAGATTCCCTTAGGCTGTCATCATCTCTCCTTTCCAGGAGCATCTGAAGATGTCTATCTTAGGTGCCAGAGATTAAAACATCCTCATACTTTTTGTGCTGTCTACTCTTTCATTCCTTGATCCTTATTTCTAAGGAGGAAACTTTCCACGATTTGTAAGCAGTTGGAAGCAAGTTCCAAACCTATGCTGCAGATGTGGAAACTTAACTGCAGAACAGTTAGTTTGCCTGTTGAGGGCATTGTCCAAAGGATGTAGTGAGAGCTATAACTCCCGCTTCCCTGGATATACAGCGAACCCCTGCCTCTGGGTACCGTGTTGCCCATTGCCTGGATTCTTCTTTCTGTTTTATAGGAAACTCTCCAAGGTTCTGAACTTTTATGTGGCTAATGCGGATGACTCCAGCAAGACAGAATTGCTTTTCGCAGCTTTGAAAGCCTTGAAGTATTTGTTCAGGTTCATCATCCAGTCTCGAGTGCTGTACCTGAGGTATGGTCGCCGTGGTTGGCCCTGTCACTGCCTGCCCCTCATGGTTTCCCTCACTCCTCAGGCTGGCATTCGGCTCTCTGAGCAGTTGGTCGTGGATTTGCCAGATTCCGTGACTTCATGCCGAGGATGGTGGTGCATTGTGGGCCGAGAAGGTCCCTGTGAAACCCTTGCACCTCGGCTGAGTGGAAAAGGGATGATGGAAGGCTGCGAGTGACAGCTAGTGGCCGCTTCGTGCGCTGTTGCAGTTCTTGTGTGGACGTGGTGGCTCTGCGCGAGGTGCAGATGCAGAGAATGGCTGCCGTGGAGGAGGAGCCGATGGGACTTGATCTTGGCCTTGATGGGGCAGCGAGGGAAAGGCAGAAACTCCGGGCAGCCTCGGGGTTGGGGTGGGAGTGGTGCTGTTTGCCTAGAACACTAAGTGCCTCGCAGGGCATCAAATGAGTTCTCTTTCCAGGTATATTTCAAGATACCCTGAGAGCCAGCTTCCAGATAAAGTTCCTTTCCATTCTGGCAAGTGGGTGACTTGAGAATTACCAGTTACCTTCTTTTTTTTTTTTTTTTTTTTTTTTTTTCGTGTCTCTTCTTTTGGAACTCACTGTATAGCCCAGGCTGGTCTCCAACTCACAGCGATCCTCCTGCCTCAGCCTCCTGAGTGCTGGGATTACAGGCGTGTGCCACCACGCCCAGCCGACCAGTCACCTTCTGATGAAATAATTTTCTTAGGGGAGTTCATGTTCTGTGGTTACCATAAAAGGTACAAGTTGTATACCCCTTATCCAAAATGCTTGGGACCAGAAGCATTTTTAGATTTGAGATTATTTTGGGTTTGGGGATACTTGCATATCTGTAATGAGACATGTTGGGGACGTGATCCAAGTTTAGACACAACAGGGATTTGTGTTTCATATACACATCTTATGAACAGAGCCTGAAGTATTTTACACAGTGTTTTTAGCGTGTCTGTTTCTTGACTGAAGCTGTCACAGGAGATCAGGCGTGGAATTTTCCTCTTGTGGTATCATGTTGGCGCTCAACGACATTTGGATTTTAAAGCACTTTGGATTTGGGATTTTCAGATTGGGGGTGCTCATAATGTGTAGGTAAATGGAGGGGACTAATTTAAACTTACAAACATGTGTGTGTGTGTGTGTGTGTGTGCACGCGTGCCTAAAACTCTGACTTCACTCTCTCTCCTCCTGACTGTTTGGTGTTGCAGTTGCTAGGCCGTGTGTAAGCACATGCACTGCTGTTTGGGACTGTACTGTTTCTGCAGTTGGCCAAAGCCTTTTCGATTTCTTGGAAAAAAGATTCAACTTCTGAGTTGAGGTGATGAACACATATTATGAAGAAAAGTAGGGCACTTTAATCAGAGCAAGTCCGTGTGTTCAGTTGAGGGCCCTGGGGTAGATGAGGCAACAGTGGGCAGAGTAGAGGATGCCGGCTGCTCTTGTAGGTTGAGTGGATTCGGAGCTTTTCTTTTTGAAGAGCTTCTGGACTCACTGTTGAAACCTCAGCTCATATGAAAGTCACTGAATTGTCCGAGCTGGCCCTAGATTTGTGATCCTCTTGCTTCAGCTTCCTAGAAGGCTAGGATTACAGGTGTGCACACTCGGAAGTCATTCATTACAGAATAACTCGGGTGAGGCTGTGGAGGGGGAAGGAAGGCAGGACGGAGAAATGCGGAGGAGAGAAGCGGATGTGCCGTGTCAGGGACATGTGCTGGGGGAGCCCCTTACACACACTGGGCCGTCTTCGAATGAGCTGAGAGGACGGGTGTGCAGAGCTCACCTCTCGCATCAGGCTCTATGACTTTCTGGTGTTCTCTCTCCTGCCAGAAATTCCTATAAGCCACTGGGGTAGAACACATCCCCCTGCTCAGGGCTTCTCAGACCAGTTCCGGGGAATCCTTACCAATGGGCGGATCTTTGCCGACCATCCAGAGAGCTCTGTGTTAGGGCCTTGCTTACACATTTTCACCCTGCTTTTGTCTAAGAAGTAATATCCTTTAAATATCTATGGAGGTGGGTCCTGGTCCCTTCCAGACCACTTTGGATGCCCCATGAAACATCTCCACACAGGGTTAGGTGGTGACCCGTGTGTCATTGACCTCAATGTTGTTGTTGTTGGTGGTGGTGGTGGTGGTGGTTTATTTGTTTTGTTCTTGTACCGGGCATCAAACTCAGGACCTTGAGAGGCAGGCAGCGGAAGGTTGTTTATTTGTTTTTGAGGCCACAGATCTATTTTAAATTTTCTTTTAAAGACGGGAAACTTTGACTGCTTTTCTCCTTTTTCTTTTAAGGTTTTATGGCCAGAGTGAAGATGGGGATGAATTTAATGACTCAATCCGCCAGTTGTTTCTCTCCTTCAATACGCTGATGGACAGGCCTCTAGACGAGGCTGTGAAGATCAAGGTCAGCCTGGTGCCCTCGTGGGTAACTCCGTTAAGGTTGTGGTAGAAATGTTCAGAGGAACTTAGAACTGGCCAAGGCTGGAGAGGAACATGAATCATGCTCTGTGAATCATGCTTCTCGGAGAGCTTGTGAATCTTAGTAGGACTTCACAGCAAGTTAAGAAAGAAGGCCACATTTTAACTTTTAGGTACATTTGTATTTTCAGTGTCAGTTTGCACAGATAAGCACCCCATTGAGATATAACTTGACAGCTCTCATAACCACAGTGGGACTCCTGATTCCTCCATGCTGATCCCCATGCTGGCACAAGTGATCATTTTCTGCTTTGGGTTTGCCTCGTTTTTCCCAGAAGTGCAGAGTTACCAGTATCTTTATCAGCAGTGATTTTGTTGAAACGTGAAATTCATAATAGCCAGAGGCTCCAGTTTGAACTTCATCATGTATTCCTTGCTCTTTATGTAATTATGTGAGGGAGACTTTAGGAATTTGACTACCACCTTTGAAAAATAATTCCAAATGAATAGCAAATACGGGACTATAGAAATGGGTAACTCCTGCTCGTAGGAAAGGTACGGAACTTGTCTCCTGCACTTTCTGGAGAAAGGTTTTGGGAGGTCGTGGTTAGCAACACAGTTTTCCTGTTCACCATGGCAATGTCTTTGTCCCAGTTCCCTGTGCAACTTTGAAGTGTAGCCTTTTCTTCCTAGGATCAAGCAGTAAGTTCTGTATTTGTCTCGCTTGGCAGCTGAATTTGCCTCTGGCATTTTTCTTACAGGGGGCAGCTCTGAAGTACCTTCCTGGCATAATTAATGATGTCAAACTTGTGTTTGATCCCACTGAGCTCAGGTAAATGGCACACAACCATTTGTTTCCAGCTCTGACAGAGCCCTGCTTGCTGGTGGCCTGGGATGTGCTGTTGCTGTCCTAGCAAGTATTAACCCAACTCCTTTTTGGGCTGAGTTCTGTGGAAGATTCAGAGGAACACGCAAAGCCTGTCCTTGAGGAAGGTTTGCACTTTCTGGGGAAACAAGACATGCAGATGTAAAATTAACTCCAGGGGAAAGGTACATAATCACACGCTTCCAGCCCTACATCTGGGTCCCCAGGAATGTAGTCAGTATGCAGTTGGCCCTGGAGTGGAGTTGGCTGGAAAAGGCTTCTTGAGGAAGCTGAGCGTTGGGCAGGCCTAGAAGGCCATGTGTTTGTGGGTGTGCCTTCCCTCTGGGGAACGGTTGTGCAGGTGCTAGGGATGTTCTCAGGCCATTTCAGAGTTCTCCAGGTGAACCTCTGCACTCCCAGAGCTCAGAGTGGAGGAGAAATAGCTATAAGGACACCTTCAGCTTGGCAGAGCGAGAGGGCTGATCTGGGGTTTCTCTTCCAGCGTGCTCTTCTGCAAGTTCATTCAGAGCATCCCAGACAACCAGTTAGTCCGGCAGAAGCTCAACTGCATGACCAAGATTGTGGAGAGCAGCCTTTTTCAGCAGTCGGGTGAGTGTCCACCACGAATGGCCGCTTCCTGGAAAGCCACTCCTAGGTCCCAGCAGTAGCACTCCCTGCCTGCTTTCTTTTAAAAGTCAGTAATAGGCTTGACAGGTTTTTAGGACCTAGGGGCCTCTGAGACACCAGTTCTCAGAAGCCAAAGTCAATGTAGTATTTCTTAGTAGTCACTAAAAGAGTAAAGTCGTGTGTTTAAACTTGAATAGAGTAATCAGCAGGTGGTTCATTTGTTGGAGAACTTTGTCCTCAGAGTGACAGGGAAGTAAGAAAGATGAATTTTAAACAGATTTGCTTTCTTTGACTTATACTCAGTGCATAAATTTGCCAGCCAGGGCCAGGCAGGCAGAGGAGCTGGCTCTCTCTTCACGGGTCTGTGTTCAGAGTTGTAACATGGTTGTATTTACATGGAAATTGGCCACCACTATAATTGGGAATTTTTTTTTTTTTTTTGTACTAGGGATCAAACTCAGGACCTTGCACTTGCAAGGTAGGCATGGTGCCACTGAGCTAAATCCCTGGCCCCTATCAGCGATTCTCTTTTAGAGGATGAAGGAAGCCAGATTACAGTGGACCCTTGAGTTACAACTGGCCTGACATATGAAAATTTTAATTACGATTGGAATTTTAGTTTTAATTTATGGGGTTCCAGATGGTCTCAGATACAGATGTAACCCTTCAAGAGTTCTGGAAGGAACATTACCGCATCCTTTCCTGTGGGATTAACTGAGAAATCCTGGGCCAGTGTCTCTCCAAGGACACTGAGATCTGCCTGTGTACAGGAGAGAGACTTTGAAGGCTGTGTAGAGGAGCCTGAGACTTCAACTGACCAACTTGAGTTACAACCAGCTCTCAGGAACAAATTGAGTTCATAAGTCAAGGGTCTACTGTACCTGTATTCCACTGAGAGGGGGCACAAAAGAGAGAGAAATCTTACTCCTTACTCTCATGCTGATTCTGCCATAAGGTTTCTTTTTGTAAATAGAATGGAGCATGGTAGCCACCGAGTACATCAGTGTGCTCCTGCCCCACTGATGCGAGCAGGGGGCCCAGTACTAGGTCCTTCCTCATAAACTCACTCACTAGATTGTAGGGGCTCCTTTGGAAGCTCCCATGGCCAAGTCAAGAGTCCCAGAGGGGCATCTCCTGCTAGGTGTGTACCCCAGGCCTCATGGAGACTGTCGTGGTGGGAGAGCCCACCTCTCCTCGCCCTCAGTGAATTGTGCAGCTGTGCACGGATGTGGAACCTGCTCCAAGTTTCAGCTTCTGTTTTGACACAAGCAAGGGTGGTATCAGCAGCCTTTGTTTGGATCTGTATGTTCTACCCCTGTTGTGCTTAAAATTTCAAATGTTCCCAGGGCGTAGATGGAGGTTGTACTAACTAGGCTAGTGGATTCTGTAGCAGGGAAAATGATTATTAAACATCTTAATATGCAGGATAAACTCTTGCTTCTGTGCATGCAGAGAAGATAGTGGAAACAAGAAAGGTGGGATGTTTGAGTGCAAAAGCAAGTGCACACTACATACTTTTTGTTTGTTTGTTTTTCAGTACTAGGGATTGAACCCAGGGCCTTTACTAACTACATCCCCACCCACTCCTCCAATTCAAGGCAGAATCTTGTTCAGTCACCAAGTTTCCCAGGCTGGGCTTTAACTTGTGATCCTCCTGCCTCAGCCTCCTGGAGTGCTAGGATTACAGGAGTGCATCACCATGCCTGACTGCACTAGATAATTCTAATCAGAGGAAGTAGGATCGCAGTTAACAGGCACAGGCACTTCTGTACTGCCCAGAGACCCTGGAGTCATTCTAACAATGTGTGGTCCTCATGAAGGGCCCAGTAAGAAGACGTACTATATGAGGGAAATGGACTGGGGAGGCTCTGTGCTCATAGGAATTAGTAAATTTTTTCCATCAGGAAGAAGAAAACAGTAGAAAGTGTATGACTTGCTTAGCTCTTGGTGTCACAGGCTTAGCAGTCACATATCAAATTGTCATTTTAAAAAGCAAGAGAGGAGCTATGGTAGGGCTCACTGGTAACATGTGAGAGGCCCTGAGGTTAATCCCAAGAAGCAAAAAAAAAAAAATTTAAAGCTAGAGAAATTGTTAAATGATTTCCACATTGTTTGGGCTGGGGCCAGAGTGCCTTTATTACTTGGAAGAGGCCCTGGGTTTGATCCCCAGCAATGCAAAGAAAAAAAAAGTTTTAATTAATATTGTACTAAATGCCTGCACTCTGGCAAGAAAGGTATTTCTCAGTGTGTTTATACCAAGGATGAGGTTCCAGCATCCATGCCTAGATTCACACCCCCCTGGTGGCCAGAGAGCCCCGCCCCCGGCAGGGCGGGTCCCGAGAGCTGAGCCACCAGGCAGACAAGGGGTCTGGGGTGCCACAGTTCTGGGCATGAGCTGCTATCTTCCCCACAGAGTGCAGAGAGGTGCTGCTGCCCCTGCTAACGGACCAGCTCAGCGGCCAGCTGGACGACCACTCAAGCAAGCCCGACCACGAGGCCAGCTCACAGCTCCTCAGCAGCATCCTGGAGGTGCTGGACAGGAAGGATGTGGTGAGTCGCGTCTTCCTCCCCGACCCCTGCTGCACAGGGCCCACCAGGTCCCTTCACCCCGGGAGGAGCGGACTCTGAGGCCTTCCTGCTGTCGGGCCGAGGGGCCTGGAGATGCTAATGCCTCCTGTGCAAATGTGGGTTCTGGCAAAGTCTGCTTGCTGCTAGGGCCCTGGTGGGGTGGGGGTGCTCTCCCAGCCTCCACTGAGAACCCCATGAGCCCTTGTGAGAAGCCCACAGCTGTGCAGGGACCCACAGAGACTCTGGTCTTCTGCAGAAACCTCTGCCCTCCGTCCTCTGTGCCTGAAGCCATTGCAAACACCTTTGCACTTCGGGGATCTGCTTTTGTGTTCTCTGCCACTGCTGCTTTCTCCGGACTCTGCTGGAAATTCTGTTTTCTTGTCTTGCATCTCCTTTGTGATCTGGACCCCACCTCTCTCTCCTGAAAGTATGGGGCTGAACCTAGTGGGCTTCATAATTACAGGGCACAAAAGAATGAGTGGGTCAGTTTCACAGCTGGTGAGAAAACTTCCCCTGGCTTTTCCCTGCAGTGGCCAATCATGATATAAACATACTTTTTTTTTTTTTTTAAGAGTAGGAAAATGTATTGAGGGAAAGAAAGCTTCTGTCTAAGTGATACAGAAGGGTGTCTGGAAAGTGGGCTGCCCGCTTACCCCACTTCTCCAAGATGTTTTATACAGCAAAGCCATGTGGGGAGGCGGGTACAAAGTGGAACTAAACTGCAAGACCCAGTGGAAAATTACAAGGTGGGCATGAGGTGGGGCGGAACCGTGACAAATAATATTAGAAGTGCAGTCACCCAGGTAAGATTGATTAACCTGGGGTCAGATGGGAGAGCGAGTCAGGTAGCAAGCATACAAGGATTTTCAGTAAGGGTGGGGGTCAGGGTTATTTCCTAAAAAGGCTGGGCTAAGACCTTGGCCCCCTACCCAGGTGATTGATATTTATTTAGAATATCAGTCACTGCTCTTTATCCCCAGGGGAAGCACAAGGGTATAGTAGTTTCTCTACTTTTACAATTCTGGCCACAGTGAATGTGTCTTGATTGTCCTCTGTGTGGGCTCCTTGAGGGGCAGTCCTGTCTACCTACAAGATATCTAATTAACTTACCTATCTGCAATATTTCCTCTCTGAAGAAGGACCCCTAACTGCTGTGAGGGGGCAAAGGGCAAAGACAGCTCTGGCTCCTTCCAGCTGAAGAGGGTCTTAGTTGTGATCGGCAGTGAGAGTTACTCTATAGAGGGTTTATCTCAAGGCCTTCCATTGGTGCCTTATCTTGGCAGCTGCACAGCTTTTAAATCTGGAGGAGACAAAGCCAAAGAAACAGACAGAATGCATGGGCCAAATTATAAGGTCAGCAGGATTGCTACGAATGTAGCCCACAAAGAGGATAAGGAGAAGGTCCGGGGGAACTTCAGAACCCAACATAGAAGTCATATAGTTTAGCAGTTATGAGCTGTTTACAAGGATGGCCTGGTGGATCCCAGTAAAAGAAGTCTAGCACACTTGTCATTGGTTCCATTTGTATGACCGCTTGGAGTTCGGCAGCCTCTCCGACCAGTAATCTCATTGGAAGACCTCCAAAATGATATAGGGGGAGAGATGTAACTCCCAAACCTGGTAGATAAATAAAACACGATTTCTCTAAAATCGAAGAAAGAATTCTAGGAACAATGGAGGTTAAGAGTAGGAAAAATTTATTGAGGGAAAGAAAGCTTCTGCCTAAGACAGACAGAAGGAGGTCCGGAAAGTGGGTTGCCTCAAACAGAATTATTTCTTTTTTTTTGTTTTTTTTTGTACCAGGAATCGAACTCAGGTTCTTGTGCTTGTGAGACAGGTAGTGGAACCACTGAGCTAAATCCCTGGAAACATAATTATTTCTTAAAGTAACTCTTATTCCCCAGTAATTATTTAAAATAGTAAAATCAAGTTCCAAGACATATACATTTGGCAATGTTACACTAAGAACTGCGGCTTACCCAGGGTCCTGGTGTTCTAGAAAGCACACATCTGTGATCTAAAGTTAAGCTGAAACACAGGAATTGGGCATTCAGTTTCTACTCCCAGTATGAGCTCTCAGCAGCAGTTTTCTCAGCGCCTCAATTTCCTATGGCATAATGTGAAGGAACTGTTCTGATGACCACAGAGTTTGTAGCATCTCTCCCTGCCTTCTTTCCACATAGCAGGATTCTTCAGAAAGGACCTGAACAAGCCAGGTTTGGTGGTGCATACCTTCTAGCAAGGACCACAAGTTCAAGTCCCTCCTGGGGAACTTGGGGACATAATGACTTTGTCTCAAATTTTTTTAAAAAGCCGGGGATTTAGCTTAGTGGTTCTGCCTGCCTTGCAAGCACAAGGGCTTGAGTTTGATCCCCAGTACCCCCAAAAAATTAAAATAAAAAAGAT